CCAACTGTTGTCACCTTCTCACCAAGCTGCTTGGCGATGGTCTTGTAGCCCATTCCAGCCTTGTGTAGGTCTACAATCTTGTCCCTGACATCCTTGGAGAGCTCTTTGATCTTGGCCAATGTGGAGAGTTTGGAATCTGATTGATTGATTGCTTCTGTGGACAGGTGTCTTTTATACAGGTAACAAACTGAGATTAGGAGCACTCCCTTTAAGAGTGTGCTCCTAATCTCAGCTCGTTACCTGTATAAAAGACACCTGGGAGCCAGAAATATTTCTGATTGAGAGGGGGTCAAATACTTATTTCCCTCAATAAAATGCAAATCAATTTATAACATTTTTGACATGCGTTTTTCTGGATTTTGTTGTTGTTATTCTGTCTCTCGCTGTTCAAATAAACCTACCATTAAAATTATAGATTGATCATTTCTTTGTCAGTGGGCAAACGTACAAAATCAGCAGGGGATCAAATACTTTTTTCCCTCACTGTAAGTGAAATAATCTGTCTGTAAACAATTGTTGGAAAAATGACTTGTGTCATGCACAAAGTAGATGTCCTAACCAACTTTCCAAAACTGTAGTTTGTTAACAAGAAATTTGTGGAGTGGTTGAAAAACTACTTTTAATGACTCCAACCTAAGTGTATGTAAGCTTCCGACTTCAACTGTATAAATAAATCTCTGAATGTGCTACAGTGATGTATGATGTAAGGATTGCAGGCTTGTGCATGTCAGCGGCTGTGACGTAGGGTTCAGCCAGAAGTTGATGGCCAGTCGGAAGGGAAATTAAATGATCGAAGGGACATCCCAGCTTCAAGTGGTTTCAGATTTCACATTTTACGTCACACAGGCTCAGAAAACATACTACTGTGTCCGTGGGGACCAGGGCTATCGCCCGATCTACAGTGTCCACATATCGATTTATAAGCAAAAATGACGGTCGGAACCGGTACCAGAACCATGCAGCTCCCCTAAACAGGGGACTTTAGATCTAAGAGGAATGTAGCATCACATAATATCCACTCTCATAATACTACTGTCCCCCTTAGGTTAAAGGCACTCAGCATTTCCTCCCCACAAATAGACACAATGCACTGGGCTCTCTGTGCAGGGCTTAGCATCCAGCAGACTCCCTGCCATGAACAGAGGGAAGAGTAGCCACCATTTTAGGCTGGATTTCTGTATAAGCACTTTGTGACATCTGCTGATGGAAAAGGGGCTTTATAAATACATTTGATTGATTGATTTGATAATTCACTCAGCATTGTTTTGAACATTAAGGTTTTCATGCACTGTCCCTTAGGTTAGCTAAAACTCCAGTCCATTTCTCATGGATTACCGACCAGCGGTTGACTGTTGACAGCAGGTGAAGAGTATTGGCTGTGGGCTTGAAAGTGTGTTAGCGTGTGTGTGTGTGTGTGCAGGAAGAGGACTGAGTAGTATTGGCCGAGATGGAAAGAAACACAGAGTAAAAGTGAAGGATGAGCCCAGTAGCATGGAAAGAAAGAGAGAGTGATGAGAAAGAGAACAGAGCGCTTTAAGGACCAGAGGACGAGAGCCTCTGTGGTGCCACGGGGTGCCAGCCTGCCAGGGCCCCTCGCTTCACCTACCCATATTCCTGCCCGGCTCAGTGATCTGCACAGCAAACCAACGCCACCCGTCAGGGTCCAGAGCCCAGCAGTCGATAACGCTATGCCAGACCACACCAGCCCACAACCCCAGTCACATCCTGTTATTCACTTCCACATGTTCTCTCATCTGGAGTAAGGAACTGAACCGACTCCAGCCCCTAGTGTCATGCTAAATTCCACACATAGCTAGATGGATAGGCCATAGCTTGCCAAAGCCACACAAACATATTTTGCCATTTAGGAATGTGTCGGAGCACTGTTGAAGCCTGAGGGCATTCTTTGTAAATTAGGCAGTACACAGCAATAAGTGTTAGCAATTGAAACAAAATTCACCTAACAATCCCAGCAAAATCTGCCCACAAATATTTTTGCTCAACAAATTACACATTTAAGACACCATGAGATTTACTACCAGTTTGTAGTTTTTGAGGGAAGTACAAATTATACACAGCCCATTAAACTGGTGCAAATCGCTCATAAATCTGGTCCCAAATTATTTCTCTAAAATGGAGAGTATATGTAGTTCATTCAGAATTGAAGATAAAGACGTATCCTGTAAATGTAAAAAATCCATTTTGGACTGATACTCTGTCACTGCTCTCCATATCTATAGTTAGAGGAGCAGTGCCAATGAGCTCCTCATCCCACTCAACATAGTCAGTGTCACACATCAGTGTGCATTTTCTGTAGCAGTGATGCGTGAAGGAAATGGAAAGGATTCAATGTAAGTGTAGGCAAAGAGGCTATGTGGAACGTGGGTCTGCTGTGTGTGTGTCCACTTAGAGTGCCTACTTCTGAATCAGTACATAGCAGGGGCGTGTGCACACAATCAGCAGCTGCAGTCAGCTGACTGCCCTCAGCTTCACGTTCATATTGCTTCGCTGCAGAAGGCGGGCTGACAAAGGGTAAGAGAGGGTGAGGGGGAGAGAGAGTTGGAGGGTGGGATGAGGCAAAGGAAGAGTACTCTACCGCCAGAACTGAATGTATAAGCAAGCAGCTGCTCTCGTCATATGAATGGCTACAGAGAGCGAGGAGAGTATAGGGAGATGCTGAGTGGGTAAGAAAGGGATACCGAGGCAGCTAGTGAACAGCAGCAGCGGTAGTCGGTCAGTAGTCACAAGCTCAGGGTAATCTATCAGGCAGTGTTGTCCACCGGGGTGAGAGGAGGTCATTATGGGGACGACGGTCAGAGGCAGCCTGGTTTCTAGGTCCCCAGGTGGAAGAGGTACAAGCAGGTGGCAGCGCAAACATGACTGTGACTTTCCTCCTATCTGTTCCTGCTCCTGTCTTCTTTTTTCGCTGCACTTCTCTTGCCCTCTGCCTTTGTGGTGCATCCCTACAGCATTCACACAGCGACCGTAGCCATGACCAATCCAGCCTCAACAGTTCCAGCCTCTTTTTCTCTATTGCACATCTTTACTCCTCTTTCTCCCCTCTCCTTCTTCTCTTCTCCTGCCTGCCTCTTACCTGTCGGCTGGCAGTTTTCCAGGGATATCACTGCTCTGGTAAGAAGGGAAACTTACTAACTCCTTTGTCATTTCTTCCTGTGTGAATGTGGCTTCAGACCTTTTTTAAAGCTGGTATCAACAGTGTAATGTTTTTGTACCTTCCCTTAGCTAGAATCGTGTCATCTCTACTGGATTTTGTATTGTCTCCTTAGCACCTTGTGCCTTTAATTGTTATAATGTATTTGTGTGTTTTAGAGCAGGGGTTCTCAAAGTGGGGTCCGAGGTACTGCAGGGGGTCCGCGGCCAGATCTCAAAATATAAAAACAATATTTAATTTGTATTAATGAATATTACTAACAACAGATTAAACACATTTTGGCCAAGGGATCCGTGGAATAAGTTTAGAGGGTGTAATACAATGTAATATTATTAATCTACAATTTATGTTCTTAACCCTGGCAACATGGGCCTGGGAGGCTCACAGGGATATTGCTATCCACAGTACTCCACCAATTATAATTTTTTCAACTCAATACTTTTTGTATTCCCCCCTGTTTTTAGAGAGAGAACTGCAAAGTTCTCTCTCTGCCTCATGGAAAAATATTTTGAATTGCAGGATATTAGCTTTAAAGCTGCAAATACAACAAAAAATAATCTTCCACATGACAAAATCTGTAGAATTGCTGCCAATTAGCTTAAACTGCAACATTTGTTGCCAGGGCCCGAGACTTGGTTCATCCGGCCATGCACTGCCTAAGTAATAGTACAATTATTTCACTCGAGTTGTGTTCTGATTATGAGGGGGTCCCTGATTAACTTTCTATTACGAAAGGGGTCCCCGGACCCAAAGAGTTTGTGAACCCCTGTTTTAGAGCATGCTAAATATTGACAGGAAAGGTATTGTAGTTTCCCCATTCAAATATCTGTGTCTCCCGCTCTCTGCTCACATTAGGGAAAGAAGCTTTTAAGTTAGTAGTAATATAATAATATAATATGTGCCATTTTTAGCAGAAGCTTTTGTCCAAAGCAACTTAGTCATGCGTGCATACATTTTAAGTATGGGTGGTCCCGGGAATCGAACCCACTATCCTGGCATAGCAAGTGCCAATGCGCCATGATCTACCTACTGAGCTACAGAGGACCAGTACATTTGTTTTTACAACATCACTTGACTTATGCAAATCTAGAGTTAGGGGCGGGGCAGCAGGCATGCTGGAGTCACTGTACAAACGTAACCCGACACCACAGATAGAGCGCTCATCGATTTAAAGTCCAACTCTTGCTTTCCCTTCAGTGAGTTCTCGCACTGCAAGGATGGGGAGATATACATCAAATACCTGACTCAATACACATCTCTGAACTGAAGACATTTTAATTTAGTAGATTGAAATCCAGCTCTTACCAGGCTTTATTCTGGGCCCTGGCGTTTTTCCTCTCACTCTCCCCTTTTTTACTCTCTCCTGGATTAATCTGTTGCTTTTTCCAGCGCTTTCCGTTGGAAGAGGTCATCTGACCCAAACTCACACTCCCAGTGTCGCTTCAGGATTCAGGCTCCGCCGGGGTGGGGAAGGGCTGGTTGTTGACTTTGACTAAGAGAGCAATACTGTGTCATCTTTTAGTGAAATGTCTTTGTTGACAGTTTTTATAACATGTACAAACATGTGTGTTCAATTGTTCGTCTGTCATTTACTGTGTACTGAAATTCATCGTCCTTGCAAAATAATTTTGAGGAGTATATGGGTCATCTTTTTCTTTATCATTCATCATATGCTTTTTTCTGGTAATTGTGCTGTAGCGTAGCTGTTTCTTTATGGGCATGGCGGAAAACTTAAGCAGTACCCAGAAGATCGCTTCAGTTTGGCGCAATGGCACACTACAGAGGTTTTATGTGACCTATTTTTGTCCAATGCAGTTGAAGAGACATAATGTCCCATAATCTCTTGCAGGCCTATTCCCAAGATGCATACCTCAAAGGAAACGAAGCATACAGCGGAAACGCCCTGCACATCCCGGAGCCTCCTCCCATATGCTACCCGAGGATAGAGCCTAAAGCCCCAGGGATGGCCCAGGCCCTGGACCCATCCCCCTCCACAGAGGCCTCCCGGAGCGGCAGGCCGGCCCAGGCAGGGACAGGGAGACAGGGCACCTCCACGCCAGGCCACACAGACATGGGCTACCGGTTGGAGATCCCTGTCCCCCCTTCTCCTCCACCCCCGCAGGTCCCTAAAACCCAGACGGTGGTTTGTGTGTGCAACGAGAGTGTGAGGACATTGGTGGTGCCGCCTGACCCAGTAGCGGATCGGGGACCCCGTTGTGTGGCTCGGGCTGACCCCAGCCACAGGACTGACGAGAACCGGTTCGGAAGTCCCCTGGGCCTCTCAACCAAACCTAGAATCCTCGTGACCCCTGGCCCCCCTGGAGGGTCACAGCTACAATATACCCCCATCCCCACCTGGCCCACAGAGTCCTCAGTCTTCTCCCCTTCTGGCTCTAGGCCTTCCCCAATCTACCCTGACACACACCACCTCACCCCCTCCCCTCGAACCACGGCCGGCGACACCTTACCCTCCCCCACCACGCCCAACCACTACACCCCCTCACCCTCCTCCCCTGCCACTTCCACCTCCCCTCACCAGAACATCGACTGGCGCAACTACACCACCTACAAGGACTACATCGACGCCAAGCGGCTGCACACCTATGGCTGCCGCACCATCCAGGAGCGTCTGGACAGCCTGCGGGCGGCGGCCAACCCCAACGCCGCTTACGCACTGCAGCCTGGCCCTCCCAGTGCCAGCGCCAGCGCCTCCTCCCAACGAGGCCTGGGGGGGTCCCAGATTAGACGCAGGAGCACGTCCCACGACCGGGGATCCTACCAGGGGGCCACTGTGGCTCCACTGCGCAGTGCCTCCCAGGAGAGGCTAGGCGGGGGAGGGCCCGAGAGGACAGCCATGCCCAGGGACTGGCCCCGAAGTGCCTCCCAGGATGCCCTACCCTCCTCAGCCCTCATGGGAGTGGCCAAGCCCCGGGCACGCTCCTGCGACTACCTGGGCCGGCAAGGCGACCCAGCGGCGGTGGTATCTACAGAGAGGGGAGTGGGAGGGTACAGCAGGGCAGAGCTGGAGGACAGGCTGCTACTGTACAGGGGCGAGGAGGCCAGATCCAGCAGACACGGGGCAGCGCTGAAACAACTACCCCAACATCACAGTACCAGCCTTACAGGCATGCCCATCATTGCCCCTATGTTCACTAAAGGTACGACGGAGCCGTTGCTCCCCTCTAGGACAGACAGCCTTGCACAGACAGCCCTCAGTAGGCCCTCGCGGTTGCCTGTTAAAAACTCCACCTCGGACCCATCGCCTCTCTCCTTACCTTCCACCCAGGGCCCCGGTAACAGTGCTATGGACCTGCTCAAAGACCAAAGAGCCGTGATGGTGGGTAACCACCTGGGCTACTCCTCCTCACCCCTGCAGCAACTACAGCTCCGGGGGCGGGCCGACAGCCTGAGGGAGGAGAACGGGAGGGAGGTGGGGCTGGGTGCCAGGTCCTCGTCCTGCTCCGGCCCCTCCAAAGTCCCCGTTCAGAGACAGCAGGCCATCTCCTCCTCCTCTACCTCCACTTCCTCCTCCACTGTTAACGGTACTGTGACCCTCAGGTCAAAGGTCCCCACCCTGGTGCAGACTAACGGGAGACCGGTGGAGGGCGTAGAGGGGCCGGACGCCACAGTGGTGGTCCTGAGAAGGGATAAAAACTCGGGACCCCAGCCTATCCGCCACCCCTCCTACATCCTGGCTGTAAACGACACCGACGTGGAGTCTCCAACGGAGGTGGGGACTCTAGCAGCCAAGAGGGGATCGGGGTGCTGGCTATCCAACGACGTCCAGCGAGAGGTGACCATGAGAAGGCTGGGAGAGCAGCACAAGGCCTCGTGCACCAGCAACCTGGACGACTCGCTCGACTCCATCCCCTTCATCGGTAAGAAACACGTTTCTGTTCTCACTCTCTCATCTCCTTTGTTACCATAGCAACTCCTTACAGAGATGGAAAATCCTGGGAAGGGGTGTGTGTGTGTCAAGCATAAACTTTAATTAGGTAACACATTTATAACACACTGTAACCCTTAGTATCAGGAGTTCCTGTTGCTCCAGTTTCGGCTTGCTTGAGGAGTGTGAGAGAGAATGTGTTTTGTGTGGGCGTGTGTAGATCGATTCGCTTAATGTGCCTGGTAGAGCATGTAATATCTCTTGGGTGGGGAGGTAATGTAAGGGTTTTGATGTTATCAGTTCCTGCTCTCAAGTCTTAGCAGGTGGAAATTGGAATGATGTAAAAGTCCTGATGCTCAGACTAGCTGCTGTCAGAAATGTCCTCAACATCACTCGAGCAGGTTAATGTTTATTGTCTTGAATCTTGCCCTGGAGGCAGAACTGAGCGATTTCCTCTAGATAGGCCAGCTGCAAAGTCACAATTGGCTATATAGTAAAAATGTATGAAAACAACAATGAGCTTTTTGGTCATACTTTAAGGTTAGGTTTAGGCATTAGGGTTAGCAGTGTGGTTAAGGTTAGCATTAAGTTTAAAATCATGTATGACTTTGTGGCTGTGCCAGTTAGTGACTACTCTGCAGAACTGCCTCCATGACAATAAATGCCAACCTGTATCTCTCAATGTCAACATAGCTAATATGGTGAGTTGTCAGTTATCGCTCTAGTGCAACTTCTTTACACTGTAGAAATGGTTTCCTTGGTGCTATACAGTCAAATAATCTGGATAGAGTATATCACCAATGTACATATTGATAGAGGGATTTGGGCTATAACAGTTTTTTTGGCAGGGGTTATTGGCTGTTTGAACAGAGCTAGATTTGTTGTTGAGGTATGTCGTAATGCAGGGTCAGGGCAGGACAAGTCTCTGAAATGGGGAAATTGTATAACATTCCATTTTATTCTGATATTATTACTGTTGATACATTGCCATTTCATTTAGCAGATATGTTGAAAGTGTCAGTCAGCTAGGTATATCCCCGTATTAAGTTCTATGCCTAAACAAAACATCTAACAAGAGAAGAGAGTACATTCATTGTTGCCAGTATGCTTAAATGCACCAATACCAACAAATACCCTGTCTTCATTTAGACATTACACAGTTCAACAATTACCATTCAATCCAACTGTCCAACAACTGTTGTGCATTGTGTCTGGCAGACAGTCATTTTGTACTGAGAACAAGACAGAACATACGATATGGTTCAGTACATGCAAATGTCCCGTTCCTGCTTGTGTTTTCCTAGAGCAAATATGCTTGAAATGCATTGTAGGAGTATCTTAAGCGTTCACAATTAGCACTGCACTTTTCAGCTGTCAGATCGGAATGGAACTGTTTTTTGGTAGACTTAATATCATGTATTTAGTATTTGAGGGTGTTGTTTTTTTTAAGCTAGTCTGAGGTGGATTTGATCTGCTCTGGGTTTGAATAGTTTGAATAGTTTCATTGACGAGACCGAAGGATCTTGAACTTGACCTGGCCCCACATGACATGAGCCATCATCCACCAATCAGGGCACCTTTTACTCAGACAGACACCAGTAGCCTAGAGCCCACATGGGTTAATCATATCCTCTTACACTCACACCACACACACACACACACACACCTTTACATGCTCTCTCTCACACGCACCTACTCACTCAATCAAACACTCACAGTGGCTCATAAGCTTCAGTCTGCCTCATGCATAAATCAGCAGCCTACCTGTGTAGTGGTCGCATGCTATACTTAAGCAATAAGACCCGAGGGGGTGTGGTATATGGCCAATATACCACGGCTAAGGGCTGTTCTTATGCATTACATTTTACATTTTAGTCATTTAGCAGACACTCTTATCCAGAGCGACTTACAGTTAGTGAGTGCATACATAATTTTTTTATTTCTCATACTGGCCCCCCTGTGGGAATCGAACCCACAACCCTGGCGTTGCAAACGCCATGCTCTACCAACTGAGCTACATCCCTCCCCTACCCTGGACGATGCTGGGCCAATTGTGCGCCGCCCCATGGGTCTCCCGGTCGCGGCCAGCTACGACAGAGCCTGGATTATGCATGACGCAACGCGGAGTGCCTGGATACAGCCTTTAGCCGTTGTATATTGGCCATATACCACAAACCCCCGAGGTGCCTTATTGCTATTATAAACTGGTTACCAACGTAATTAGAAAGAAAATGTTTTGTCATACCCGTGGTATACGGTCTGATATACCACGGCTTTCAGCCAATCAGCCTTCAGGGCTCGAACCACCCAGTTTATGATGTATACTATTAGCTGAGCAACAATGTTTGTACTATCACTCACTGATTCAATCCCCAGCCATATTGCTCTGTTTTGGGTAGTCTTACATTTTGGCAGCTGTTCCATTTTAAACTTGATGGCTTGAACTGACAACGCGAGGTGTTTCAAGTACATGTGTCGAACAACACTGTTTGTTGCTGTTTTCACAAACACATGAAATAGGGAACATCTGTCTCGATTTGGCAGCCGTATCATGGAAACGATCTGTGAGGTTATGTTGGGGAATTTCACTGTAACAATCTCTGCAGCCGAAGAAACAGGTCAGATGTTTCATGTTAATGTGCACTATTAAATGGGAAATGTTTTGCTTAGGCACACATATGAATGTAAGCTTTCGGATTGCTCAGGTCTATGTTTTATTTTCCTTCTAATAAAATATTTGGCTGACATATTGGCTGATTGTACTCTGGTTTGGGTTGAACCAGTTCACAGAGAGAGTAATACAATGGTATTATATGGATGATACAGATACATCTGTGAAACACTTTGTTTTTGACGGCAGGTAGCCTGGGCCAGTAACTGAAAGGGCTGGTTCGAATCCCCGAACCAACTAAGTGAAAAAATCTGTCTGTGCCCTTGAGCAAGGCTCTTAACCCTAAATCTGCCGTAAGTCGCTCTGGATAAGAGTGTCTGCTAAAGGACAAAAATGTCAATGTAAAAATGCATTATAATTAAAGGCTTTTGGTAGTGATACATTTCTGTGTGCCCTGTTAGTATTCATGGCACTCTCCTTATTATTGCCAGTCACTTCCATCCTGTACCTTGTGTCACCTGCTGCCTGGGACAGAATGGCAAAGGCAGGATTACTCACAGTACTCGGTAACATTATGACTTGCCTGGGTGTAGCCTGCACCTTGGTTATGTCTGCTTACCTGATCAGACTGAGAACGGTGATGAAACATCAGCTCACTTTCCCTTCCTGTGTGTTTGTTGATTGTGGCAGGTGTGGACTGGGTTATCTCTAGTGGCCATGCCGGCTCCATGAATATGCCTGGCTGTCTCTGAATAAGTGTCATGTACTCTCATAACCAGACTGTGTGTTTAGCTGTGTATGCCTATATTTCGCCATCATGGCATTTATGGTTTATTGCAGTCTGTAAATTGGTCTCAAACGGAGATAACATAGACTGCTTCAGTATGAGTTTCACTCAGTCCTGAGCGCTGATGCGTGACTGTGTCTTTATGCCACAGTAGACTTCATTAGTGATGTTAAGTATGAGACAGCCTACTTTTACCGGGATTTACAATTAATCAATTTTTATTCAATGTTTTGTTTGGAGTAGAACAGGAATCGTCTCTACTCTTGTTTCACTTTGGTTCTCCTCACTTCATTTCCAGATGAGCCATCCAGTCCAAGTATCGATCAGGACACCAGTCACATTCCCGCTTCAGCTGTAATATCTGTTACTCCAATTGTCACCACCATCCCACCCAGCCCCACCTCTCCATCTCCTCTCATTCGACGACAGCGGTCACATGACCACGGTAAGGTTACCCCCTTTTTAGAAAAAACAAGCTGTGCAGGTACTGACAGCAACAATATGCATGCTTTAAAAATTGTGTATTAGTATTAGTTGATGGCTGAATTTGAATACTTGATCCACAAACAAGCTTGGGACACTTACAGCCTTGAGCTAGGAAATTCCTATTCAAAGTTTGTTCTTTGGCTTATTTCTTGTTTGATAATCATTTGGCTTTTATTTTTAAAGATTATTTTCGGCTCACAACTATTGAGTCGGATTCTGGTACCAAAACGGAGCGGTCCAAATCCTACGATGAGGGTCTGGATAACTACAGGGAAGGGTGAGTATCATTTGGCCTAAAATGGTGGACCAGTGCAGTCTACGCCCCCTTTTTTCTTCACATTTTATTTGTTACAAAGTGGGATTAAAATTGATTTAATTGTCATTTTTTGTCAACGATCTACACAAAATACTCTGTCAGCGCAAGAAGAATTCTAACATTTTGTAACGATTTAATGAAAAATAAAACACTAATATACCTGTTAGAAACACGTTTGGCAGCGAATACAGCAGTGAGTCTTCTTGGGTAAGTCTCATAAGAGCTTTGCACACCTGTATTGTGCAATATTTGTGCATTATTCTTTTCAAAATTCTTCAAGCTCTGTCAAGGTGTTGGGGATCATGACTTGCCATAGAATTTCAAGCAGATTTAAGTCAAAACTGTAACTTGGCCACTCAGGAACATTCACTGTCTTCTTGGTATGCAACTCCAGTGTAGATGTGGCCTTGTGTTGTAGGTTATTGTCGTGCTGAAAGATGAATTCCTCTCGCAGTGTCTGGTGTAAAACAGACTGAAGCAGGTTTTCCTCTAGGATTTTGCCTGTGGCTAGCTCCATCCCATTTCTTTTCATCCTGAAAACTCCCCATTCTTTGCCGATGTCAAGCATACCCATACCATGATGCAGCCACCACCATGCTTGAAAATAAGGAGGCATGTGTTGTGTTGGAATTGCATCAAACATAGGGCTTTGCATTTAGGCCAAAAAGTGTATTCCTTTGCCGAGTCACTACAATGTTGATGATCCATCTTCAGTTTTCTCCTATCACAGCCTTTGAACACTGTAGCTGTTTTAAAAGTTTTAAAATCACCAATAGCCTCATGGTAACATCCCTAAGCAGTTTCCTGTCCTGCAGCTCAGTTCAGAAGGACAACTGCATCTTTGATGTGTCTGGGAGGTTTATTACATAATCCACAGCATAATTATTAACTTGACCATGCTCAAAGATCTATTGTTTGTTATTGTTACCCATCTACCAATCACTGCCCTTCTTTATGATGCTAAGCTACAGGACTGTTTTGCTAGCACAGACTGGAATATGTTCCGGGATTGTTCCGATGACATTGAGGAGTAAACCACATCAGTCACTGGCTTCATCAATAAGTGCATCGATGACGTCGTCCCCACAGTGACCGTACGTACATACCCCAACCAGAAGCCATGGATTACAGCCAACATCCGCACTGAGCTAAAGGGTAGAGCTGCCTCTTTCAAAGAGCTGGACTCTAACCCGGACGCTAATAAGAAATCCCGCTATGCCCTCTGACGAACCATCAAACAGGCAAAGCGTCTACAGGACTAAGATTGAATAGTACTACACCGGCTCCGACGCTCGTCGGATGTGGCAGGTCTTGCAAACTATTACAGACTACAAAGGGAAGCACAGCCGCGAGCTGCCCAGTGACACGAGCCTACCAGACGAGCTAAATCACTTCTATGCTCGCTTCGAGGCAAGCAACACTGAAGCATGCATGAGAGCATCAGCTGTTCCGGACGACTGTGTGATCACGCTCTCCGTAGCCTGGACAAAAGGAACACCTACGTGAGAATGCTATTCATTGACTACAGCTCAGCGTTCAACAGCATAGTGCCCTCAAAGCTCATCACTAAGCTAAGCACCCTGGGACCAAACACCTCCCTCTGCAACTGGATCCTGGCCTTCCTGATGGGCCGCCCCCAGGTGGTAAGGGTAGGTAACAACACATCCGCCCCACTGATCCTCAACACGGGGGCCCCTCAGGGGTGTGTCCTCAGTCCCCTCCTGTACTCCCTGTTCACCCATGACTGCATGGCCAGACACGACTCCAACACCATCATTAAGTTTGCCGACGACACAACAGCCTGATCACCGACAACGATAAGACAGCCTATAGGGAGGAGGTCAGAGACCTGGCCGTGTGGTGCCAGGATAACAACCTCTCCCTCAACGTGATCAAGACAAAGGAGATGATTGTGGACTACAGCAAAAAGAAGAGGACCGAGCACGCCCCCATTCCCATCGACAGGGATGTAGTGGAGCAGGTTGAGAGCTTCAAGTTCCCTGGTGTCCACATCACCAACAAACTATCATGGTCCAAACACACCAAGACAGTCGTGAAGAGGGCACGACAAAGCCTATTCCCTCTCAGGAGACTGAAAAGATTTGGAATGGGTCCTCAGATCCTCAAAATATTCTACAGCTGCACCATCGAGAGCATCCTGACTGGTTGCATCACTGCCTGGTATGGCAACTGCACTGCCTCCGACCGCAAGGCACTACAGAGGGTAGTGCGTACGGCCTAGTACATCACTGGGCCGAAGCTTCCTGCCATCCAGGACATCTATACCAGGCGGTGTCAGAGGAAGGCCCTAAAAATTATGTCTGCTACCGCACGGCAAGCGTGTTACCGGAGCGCCAAGTCTAGGTCCAAAAGGCTTCTTAACAGCTTCTACCCCCAAGCCACAAGACTCCTGAACAGCTTCTACCCCCCACCCCCCCCCACCCCCTCTTTTACGCTGCTGCTACTCTGTTTATTATCTATGCATAGTCAATTTAACTCTACCTACATGTACATATTACCTCAATTACCTCGACTAACCTGTGCCCCCACACATTGACTCTGTATCGGTACCCCTTTTATATAGCCTCACTAATGTGATTTTACTGCTGCTCTTTAATTATTTGTTATTTATATTTTTTACTTATCTATTTTTTACTTAACACTTATTTTTCTTAAAAACTGCATTGTTGGTTAAGGGTTTGTAAGTAAGCATTTCACTGTAAGGTCTACACCTGTTGTATTCGGCGCATGTGACAAATACAATTTGATTTGATTTCAAAAAGCTCCCTGGTCTTTGTAGTTGAATCTGTGCTTGAAGTAGTACTTGACTGAGGGACCTTACATATGTTGTATATATGAGGGACAGAGGAAGGGGTAGTCATTCAAAAACCATGTCAACCCCTATTATTACACACAGTGTATCCATATAAACTGAACATAAATATAAACGCAACATGTAAAGTGTTGGTCCCATGTTTAATGAGCTGAAATAAAAGATCCCAGAAATGTTCCATATGCACAAAAAGCTTTTCTCTGAAATTATGGGCACAGATTTGTTTAAACTTGTTTCACAAACATGGCGTAAATACATAAACAACACAATGCCACAGATGTCTCAAGTTTTGAGGGAGCGTGCAATTGGCATGCTGACTGCAGGAATTTCCACCAGAGCTGTTGCCAGAAAATTGAATGTTCATTTCTCTACCATAAGCCACCTCCAACTTCCATTTTAGAGAATTTGGCAGTACATCCAACCGGCCTCACAACCACAGACCACGTGTATGGCGTCGTGTGGGCGAGTGGTTTGCTTATGTCAACGTTGTGAACAGAGTGCCCCATGGTGGCGGTGGGGTTATGGTATGGGAAGGCATAAGCTACGGACAACGAACCCAATTGCATTTTATTGATGGCAATTTGAATGTGCAGAGAAACCATGACGAGATCCTGAGGCCTTTGTCGTGCCATTCATACACCGCCTCATCTCATGTTTCAGCATGATAATGCACGGCCCCATGTTGCAAGGATCTGTACACAATTCCTCGAAGCTGAAAATGTACCAGTTCTTCCATTCCATGGCCTGCATACTCACCAGATATGTCACCCATTGAGCATGTTTGGGATGCTCTGGATTGATGTGTACGACAGCGTGGTCCAGTTCCCGCCAATATCCAGCAACTTCTCACAGTCATTGAATAGGAGTTGGACAACATTCCACAGGCCACAATCAACAGCCTGATCAACACTCTGGGAAGGAGATGTGTCGCGCTGCATGAAGCAAATGGTGGTCACACCAGATACTGAATGGTTTTCTGATCCATGCCCCTACTTTTTTTTTTAAGGTATCTGTGACCAACATTCATATCTGTATTTCCAGTCATGTGAAATCTAAATGACTAAAATGTCAAATGTAAATCCATAGATTAGGGCCTGATGAATTGATTTCAATTAACTGATTTCCTTATGAACTGTAACTCAATTAAATATATTTCAATCCCACTTTGTAATGCAACAAAATGTGAAGGGGGTGTGTAATTTCTATATGCACTGTACATTTTAGTCATTTTCATTTAAGACTAACTTGTGATTAATCTTTCTATTTTCGTATTTCTATGTTCCTTGTAGGAGAGACATACCTGGTCTAAAGGGCCGTAGAAAGGTGAGTCCAACCTCAACACAGTAATATCATTATCAGGTTACATTTGGATAGTCCAGATTTTCCATCTGTAGATGCTCTACAGATGGTCATACTATCAACCAACTGTATGTTGATAAGCAACTACTTACTAAGGTTAGGGTTAGGTTAAGAATAAGGGTAAGGGCTAGGGTAAGGGTTAAGATAAGGGTTAGGGTTAGAGCTAGGGTTTGTAGATAGTTTAAATGTTACTGTCTGTAGAGCATCTCCAGATGGACTATCCAAATAAAGTGTTACCTAACATCAGCCCACGTAACAACAAACTGTAATAGTATGAACAGTATGAAAATGTATGCACTAACTGTAAGTCGCTCTGGATAAGAGCGTCTGCTAAATGACTAAAATGTAAATGTAATAGGGAGTATGGACGAACCCTCTGGTCACTTTCCACAGAAATGTTGATGTGCCTACTGGCTATCAGACTCGACTGCATCATTATAATTTGTTTTACCTGCATATGCTGCCCAGAGGTTCACAGCATAAAGATAAGAGTCACTCCTCTGAACGGCTAGCATTGATGTTAGTCAATAGTGGTTGTAAAATGGATAATGAGTGAGACTATAAAACCAAATGAGCTCTAAAGACCCAGCTTTGCTATTTCTGTCTGTCTGCTCACTGGAATGGGCCATAATGTCAGATACTGGGCCATATAATAGAAGTCAGGCAAGGGTCATCCAATCAGCGAACTGTCCACTGGAGGGACTCCACATGACCCGTCCTCATTATCCAGCCTGCTGAATGGCCCCAGAGGCAGACTGAATGGAAGTTATGACCTGATTAGCAGCTTACAAAGCCAAGTACACCATTTTGCAGTATTGTGTATGTATGAGACTGTAGTGAGGTAACTCATGTGTTTGTTGTGTTAAAGGCGACGGTGGACAGGTCTTCAGAAGATTCCGGATCCAGGAGAGATTCCTCATCAGATGTCTTCAGTGATGCTACCAAGGAGGGCATGCTCCACTTCCGACAGATCAACACGGACAAGAGCAAGGTGTGTGTACAGTGTTACCCACACACATCCACACGCCACACACATAGGGGGTCAAGGCGGTCCATTTTATCACCTGTGACATGGTTTAGAAAGAGTGGTGCATAATCCTCTTCCTCTTTTAGATATTTAGTAACAGTAATGTGTCGGTTTTTGTGTGCATTGCACTTGTCAGACCAGCTTGGCTTTGACCTAAATGTGTTTGAGATTCCTGACTCTGTCATGTTTGCCTTGAGGAAATGACTCCCCCTCTAGTGGGTTACACTGGACATGATGGCAGCTCATACTTTCTTGGCAAACCATTTTAGATGAGATGCATCAAGGATGTGGAGATATTTCATGTGCAATGCCAGTGTCAAATTACAAGAGAGGACCATGTCTTTATTAGTGCCTGTCTACCTCACTGCCGTGTTATGTGTCTGACATACTTCTCATATTTCTCATACTTGTCATTAAGTAATATCATTGTTTGTGCCTCTCCTCTCTCTCTGCAGCGTGTTGGAGGGGGAATGCGCCCCTGGAAACAGATGTACGCAGTGCTGCGAGGCCACTTCCTCTGCCTATATAAGGACAAAAAGGAGGGACAGGCTCATGCCAACTCCCAGGTGGAGGATGAGCCCCAGCCAATCAGCATCAAGGCCTGTCTGATTGACATCTCCTACAGCGACACGAAACGCAAGAATGTCCTGCGGCTGACCACGTCGGACTGTGAGTACCTGTTCCAGGCAGAGGACAGAGAAGACATGCTGGCCTGGATCAGAGTCATACAGGACAACAGCAACCTGGACGAGGAGGTGAGGGGGACACACACACACACACACACACCATACAGGAGATGAAATCCTATCAAGTTCTCCAGGATTTACAGAAATGTGTGGCAAAGTGAAATCAAACCCTTTCTGTGATGGTAGAAAACACAAGATCAACCTCATGGAAAGCCAATACTTCATTAATTACACAAATGTAGATAAAGTATACTTTGTCACTAACCCTCCCTTGATAAGGATCAGCTAACAGTGATTGGCTGCGGGTCATAGGTCACATAATACACACACAAATGACCCGTCCCTGGTCTACTGTACCTTAAAATAGGCTAACGTTACCACAGGTTCTCCCCTCTATTAGAAACCGAAGCTCTTCTTTCCCCTCCATTAGGACCTTAACCACTATGGTACTATGGTATATTTATTTGGCTTTACCTATGCCATCTGATAGCAGTGGGTTATGTAGAACCTCTAGTTTATGGGGTCTTCTAGGGGGAGGGGAGTCATATTGCATCTGATGAGTTAACATTGTCTGCTATCCTTTTCTTCCCTTTCCCCCTTCCGCCTTTTTTCTTGTTTTAGAACGCAGCCTTTACCAGTCGGGACCTCATCAGCCGAAAGATCAAGGAGTACAACACCTTGATGAGGTAAGCAGGGCGGGGCCACAGAGAAAGAAAGTCTCTGCAGTACAGAGGGAGATTGAGACCTGTGTGGATGGCTCCTATTGGACGTACGACATCAAAACGTATTGTGTGTGTGACCCAGCCCGACAGGCAGTAAGACTGAACCGTCACCCAAACCGTCACGCCAGTCGCTGAGCATCAGACAGACGTTACTGGGAGGGAAGGGGGAGACCAAATCTCTAAGTCCACACTTACCCAAAGCAGAGCAGGAGAGGAAAAACATGCACAAAGGTGAGAGCCAGGGGATAAAACATTTCACTTAGCTCTCAACAATTCATTTACTTGAGTATTGTGAATGTCTGATTGATCTTTGAGCAAGGCTTTGAATATTCCATTGCTTTTTGCTCCATATATACAGTATGTGTGTGTTGATTCTCGTGTGAGACTATCCTCATGTTTCGTGTGTTAACCCTTCAGATGACACCAGTCCACCCAAAGACAAGGGGATGTGGAGGAAAGGTATCCCAGGGCTGATGAGGAAGCCCTTTGAGAGGAAGCCTTCTCCAGGCATCACTTTCGGGGTGAGGCTGGACGACTGCCCCCCAGCTGTCACCAACAGGGTAAGATTAAACTCACACCTACAGTACAGTCGTGGTCAAAAGTTTTGAGAATGACACAAATACTAATTTTCACAAAGTCTGCTGCCTCAGTTTTGATGATGGCAATTTGCATACACTCCAGAATGTCATGAAGAGTGATCAGATGAATTGCAATTAATTGCAAAGTCCCTCTTTGCCATGAAAATGAACTTAATCCCCAAAAAACATTTCCACTGCATTTCAGCCCTGCCACAAAAGGACCAGCTGCCATCATGTCAGTGATTCTTTCGTTAATACAGGTGAGAGTGTTGACGAGGACAAGGCTGGAGATCACTCTGTCATGCTGATTGAGTCAGAATAACAGACTGGAAGCTTTAAAAGGAGGGTGGTGCTTGAAATCATTGTTCTTCCTCTGTTAACCATGGTTACCTGCAAGGAAACACGTGCCGTCATCATTGCTTTGCACAAAAAGGGCTTCACAGGCAAGGATATTGCTGCTAGTAAGATTGCACCTAAATCAACCATTTTTCGGATCATCAAGAACTTCAAGGAGAGAGGTTAAATTGTTGTGAAGAAGGCGTCAGGGCGCCCAAGAAAGTCTAGCAAGCACCAGGACCGTCTCCTAACGTTGATTCAGCTGCGGGATCGGGGAACCACCAGTGCAGCGCTTGCTCAGGAATGGCAGCAGGCAGGTGTGAGTGCATCTGCACGCACAGTGAGGCGAAGACTTTTGGAGGATGGCCTGGTGTCAAGAAGGGCAGCAAAGAAGCCACTTCTCTCCAGGAAAAACATCAGGGACAGACTGATATTCTGCAAAAGGTACAGGGATTGGACTGCTGAGGACTGGGGTAAAGTCATTTTCTCTGATGAATCCCCTTTCTGGTTGTTTGGGGCATCTGGAAAACACCTTGTCCGGAGAAGACAAGGTAAGCGCTACCATCAGTCCTGTGTCATGCCAACAGTAAAGCATCCTGAGACCATTCATGTGTGGGGTTGCTTCTCAGCGAAGGGAGTGGGCTCACTCACAATTCTGCCTAAGAACACAGCCATGAATAAAGAATGGTATCAACACATCCTACGAGAGAAACTTCTCCCAACCATCCAAGAACAGTTTGGTGACGACCAATGCCTTTTCCAGCATGATGGAGCACCTTGCCATAAGGCAAAAGTGATAACTAAGTGGCTCGGGGAACAAAATATCGAAATGTTGGGTCCATGGCCAGGAAACTCCCCAGACCTAAATCCCATTGAGAACTGTGGTCGATCCTCAAGAGGCGGGTGGACAAACAATAACCCACAAATTCTGACAGACTCCAAGCATTGATTATGCAAGAATGGGCTGCCATCAGTCAGGATGTGGCCCAGAAGTTAATTGACAGCATGCCAGGGTGGATTGCAGAGGTCTTGAAAAAGAAGGGTCAACACTGCAAATATTGACTCTTTGCATAAACTTTATGTAATTGTCAATAAAAGCCTTTGACACTTATGGAATGCTTGTAATTATACTTCAGTATACCATAGTAACATCTGACAAAAATATCTCATAACACCAATACTTGTCATTCTCAAAACTTTTGACCACGACTGTACATACTCTCTCCATCTCCTCATTCATGTTTATTGGAATGGTTTATCAGAAAGTGCCTTCTCAACACATTGTCACACACCTTTCTGAGGGTGCTGCCAAGGTGCAATGGCAATTGATGAGTCCACATTGTGTGTGGTGTTGTAGTTTGTTCCCCTCATCGTGGAGGTGTGCTGTAACCTGGTGGAGGAGAGAGGGCTGGAGTACACAGGGATCTACAGAGTCCCAGGGAACAACGCAGCCATCTCCAACATGCAGGAGGAGCTCAACAACAAAGGCATGAACGACATCGACATCCAGGATGACGTGAGTGACTCAACACAACACATTATGCCACTTTCTCTCCCTCTCTCCAATTGTCTTTGGCTCATCCTCTTTCTTTATGTTGGTTCTATCCTTTTTTTCACTCCTCTCTTCACTCACCTTTTCCATGGTCTTTTCTTTCCTCTAGTCTAAAATCACTTTTTTACCTGCCTTTGACAGAAATGGAGGGATCTGAATGTGATCAGCAGTTTACTTAAATCCTTCTTCCGTAAACTTCCAGAGCCTCTGTTCACTAATGGTAAGAATATTCAAGGATTCCCACCAATAGCCTATACATTAAGGCAATGTTTCCCAAACTCGGTCCTGGGGACCCCAAGGGGTGCACGTTTTGTTTTTTGCCCTAGCATTACACAGCTGAGTCAAATAATGAACTCATCATCAAACTTTGATTATTTTAATCAGCTGTGTAGTGCTAGGGCAAAAATCTAAACGTGCACCCCTTGGGGTCCCCATGACCGAGTTTGGGAAAATGCTGGATTAAGGGGTCACTATGCCACCTAGTGGTTGAGTGTGAAACCAACACTTAATTACATATTATGTTTAGTGTTCACTTTCATAACACCAAGACCCTTTGTCTTCTTCTGTAAAACCAATGTCAGTTTCCTTTGTGCCCTGTAGAGAAGTATGCAGACTTCATAGAGGCCAACAGGACAGTGGATCCAGTGGAAAGACTGAAATTGTTGAAGAGGATGGTGGGTTCATGTGACATTCATTGTGAACTTAACTGACATTATTGCATGGTACCTTATACTTATCCTACTTCTCACTGCAGCTTCACGAGTTGCCAGATCATCACTATGAGACCCTCAAGTTCCTCTCGGCTCATCTGAAAACAGTGGCTGACAACTCTGATAAAAATAAGGTCTTGTAATTTCCATCTTGAATAGTGGCTGGCAGCCCTCACTTTCAACTTAGAGAACCTGTGATTGTAGTGAGGGTATGTATGTGTAAAGCATGTGTATGTTCCTAACAATCCTATGTGTTAGATGGAACCTAGGAACCTGGCCATTGTGTTTGGTCCCACTCTGGTGCGCACTTCAGAGGACAACATGACCCACATGGTCACCCACATGCCCGACCAGTATAAGATCGTAGAGACTCTCATTCAGCATGTGAGTCCCACTTACCATCTTAATTGCAGACTGTTTGTGCATAATCTGCAAATCAAACCATTTCTACTTGAACTAATTTGAGAAATGTATCAAAAAAGTGATGTGAATCCCCTAAAGATAAAGCTCCCTTTCCTTTGCTCCCTTCTAGTACGACTGGTTTTTCACAGAGGAAGGCAATGGGGAGCCAGTGGTGGGTACAAGCACGTTGCTGCCCTATTTGCTATTTTTTGAGAAACTTGTAGAGTGTTCATCCTGTTGCCTGACTGTGTTCCTTTCAGACAATGGCCCGATATGAGAACGCGGTGGAGTCTCAGCCTGTGCCCAACATCGACCACCTGCTCAATAACATCGGCCGCACGGCCTCCACACAGGGGGAAGTCTCAGGTAACGTGTTCCCTGGACCAGACCGACTCTGTGGTGGTGGGTCAACCTTTTACTACTTTTCCCTGCTAACCACTGTGTCTATCGCTGGTGAGACCAATGTCTTTTAGTCTAGGAGCGTGTGAGGTTCAGTGTAATTAAGTCTGGAGAGTGTTGATGGATAGTGCTGCTTTCTTCCTAAGAGATCCTTCTTTGCTTCATTTGCTGTACCATAAGATAGAAATGTCCATGCCTAGTCATGACTCCAGAAGCCTGTGTGGGTTTGCGAGGGCAAATTATTCTTGCCTCTTCTCCATGACACAAAGGAGAAAGGACAAAATAATTTGTCTGATCTATACATTTTCCTTTCTTTTAGATTTTCCTTCCTTGGTTTCCAATTTTCAGCTAAATTTCTTTGCCTCAAAATGATGAGGTTCTTTAACTTTTTTTTGACCATCCCTCCATCTTTAGTGTCTTTATTCAAACTCCACTGGGCTGTCGGTTTTTCCTCTCCTCCTGTTATTAATCCTGCCTACTGTTGCACTAACACGGCATGTTCTCTCCCAAAGACAACACGAGAAAAAAAAGCAACAGGTGAACTCTGATCCCTCTGTCTCTAGTGCCACTCTGTCGGGTGTCCTAAAGGATTTCCCAGCATTCACACATACTGATCTTGACACAGGCCAAGTGGGAGGTGTCTATCACACCATGATGTCACTGATGGCCTCTATAATATCCGTGATGGACAGCTGGAACTGTAGGAAGAAGGAGGATTGTTGCCCCCAGTGTAGCTGTCTAGTCTGCAGAAACCCTCGTTTCTTGTAAGCTCGAGAAAACCGTCATAAGAGAAACGTGATGAAACCGTTTGACAAAGAAAATGTGAAAGGGAAGCAGAGCAGCGGCCACATGGTACTGGACATCCGGTGGTGTCCGTTTTGTATCTGAGTATACCTAACACAGACAGGTGCTACTGTCTGAAAGGCTCTCCACTGTCTCTCCTCACTGTCTCGCAAGCTTCTCGCAACAGGAGAGATAGCATGGTATGGTCCCCAGGTTTCTACCTCACCAGTCAATGTGCACTCGCATACTGTGCCACCATCTGTCTTCAAGGGGTGTGTAGGGGGGCTTGGCTATGTAAAAAAGTATAGTCAGTCAAAGATCAATACAAGATCAACTAGGCAGCAGTGGATAAATATTTTCCTTGCTGGCATTCTTTCTCATGTAGTGTCCTCTCTGTTCATAGCTAGCCCCTCTGTGACCCCCCTCTCATGTCTTAGCCTCATGGTTCATTTCATGGTCGTCGTCACTGTTGTCATGGCAATATATTCCCCCGTACTTTTCATTCAGTCCATCCCCTCCTCGGCTCAACTAGACTGAATATACTCTCTCTTTTTGTTAGCCTCTAACTGAAGCCATAAGACTTCACACATTTATAGACTACTCTTTCTTAGAACCATAATCCTATGTGTTCGTTGAGTCAATAGTTAAGGTAATACTAGAGTAATTACATGTTAACAAAGTCTCCTCAATGAAGTAACATTCATCACTAGTCAGATGTGCTAGGTTTGTAATTTGACTATCATTTCAGGCAAAAACAAGAGATTGTGCTAGAGCTCTTTTGATCAGTAATTGGAGGCTTTGGTTTGCTGTATAGCATAGACCACACAGAGGGAATCCATTGACTTCCTGCATGGCATATTTTCATTGTTGTCTCATTGGCCTGCTGTTGTGAAATGCACCTTGGATATATTTCCCATTACCACAGTTTCACTCAGTATCCTGATATATTTGGGTATTATTGTTTTAGACAAGTTGGAAGGACTTACCTGGCCCTAGCATCTTCTGTGCTCAGTCCTACTTATCTTTTATCCAGAATGACTTTCAGTTTTGCATGTACTGAGGTTTCTATGTTTCCATGAAAGAACACCCCACCCGGGTGGATGTGGATCTGAGTGTAACATAGTGCTCACTGCATGGCTTGCCTCCTCTTCGTGTTTCTGTCATCCTTCTGTCCACTTATATGCCAGGCTCTTTACATCAAGCACAGTGTCTCATCTGTGGGTACTATCCTCGTCATGGTTCTCTCTGTTACTGGCTTTTTCATATTGCACTATTGTGGATGTTGTCTGGTTGTCCCACATGTTGTTTTGAATAATTGGTGGATAATCTAACATGTTCCTCTCTCCTCTCCCTTTTTCTTACAGATTCACCCACTAGTGACTCTGCTAAATCGAAGGTGAGTGTGTGCCCAGTGTCTGCTCTCTCCAGCTGAATGTAGTGTGGGGAGGAAAAAATTGGTAGGTGAGCAGAACAAAGGTCAGGTCACAAGGCAAGATCAAAGCACTGATTCCCCCATGTGTGACAGTAGGCCAGGTGGAGTTTAGTCTGTGAATACTGAACACTAACAAAACAAACAAGCAACAGTATAAACACAGCCTTTCATGTCAAACATTAAACTGTGTTGGGTCCAAACTTCACAAGTCTGTCCAATCTTTACTGGGACATTTTACTTCAACAAAAGAACACTCACACCATAGACAGTGCAGGAACTGGTGCTTACCATTACTGCACTGCTGTCATCTGGCTGCCTCTCTCAGCTTTGGCTCAGAACACATGAATTCATGCAGAACATCAAGCTTCCTGTGCTGGGCTGCTTAAGTGTGCTGCTGTTGCTGCTTCTGCTGTTGCTGCAAGGCTGGCATGGTTCAGTTGTAGTTGTCGTCCTGTCACTAATGTTCCTACTCTCTGTCCACCCTTTTGGTTTGTGGCATTTTCAGAGGAACAGGTGGAGTACTGGTTGGCCAAGAACTCAGGCAGCGGTTAGAGGGTTTTTCTGTGCGTTGTTCTCCCAAGGGGGGTTTCTGTGGTACAGGTTCTGACTTGTTTCTCTCCCTCTCTATAGGGTTCCTGGGGGTCCGGGAAGGACCAGTGCAGCCGCGAGCACCTGGTCTCCTCGATCTTTGCTGCAGCCAACCGCAAAAGAAAGAAGCCCAAGGACAAGCCGCAGCTTAGCAGCTCTGATGATGACCTAGACTCAGTGTTCCCTAAGAAGGAGCTCCCTGGCCAGAAGCAGAATCACAGCCTCGAGGTGGAGCAAGGGATCAGTGTCAGCCCTGAAGCAAAAGAGCAAGCAAGAACAGGAGAGAAGAAGGAGAATGGGAGAGGTATCGAGCTCACACCCCAAAACAAAAAGGAGCACAGGAACTCTTTCTTTATAAGGGAGAAGCCCTCGTCAAGGCAGCCCTCACCTGCCCCCTCACCCAAAAACTCAGTCTCCCCCAGACTCAGTTACCGCACAGCCCCGCTTGGAAAGCCCTCCTTATCGGACCCCCTGTCCCAGCTGGATGAGCCTACTTCTGATCTGGGCACCATGAGCTCTGGGGCTTCCATGCCCAGGGCACGACCTAAGAAGTGGGTGTCAGGAGCTGCTGCTCCTGATCTATCAGCGGCTGGACCTGGGGCATCAGCTGGGGCAGAGGTGAGTTCCATCACCTCTGACTATTCCACCACCTCGTCCATCACCTTCCTGACTGCAGCAGACTCTAGCGCACTCAGTCCAGAGGTTCTTGGTGGGGACGAGGCAGATGACGAGCGCAGCGAGCTTATCAGTGAAGGCCGGCCCATGGAGACTGACAGCGAGAGCGACTTCCCTGTGTTCGCCACAGGGGGTGGAAATGTCCAAACCATGCCTGCCTTAGTGCAGAACCAGACTGGGCATGGACCAGAAAAGCCTGATCCTGCAGCAGCTGATGGGAGCACGACTCCCAAACTGGAACCCCGTCGCCTCTTTCCGTCCCACAGACTGATTGAGTGTGACACACTCTCCAGGAGGCGGTCCCTGCGACAGAAGACGGATAGCGAGTCATCAATAGAGGGTGGGACTGGCAGCGGGGAACGCGTCGAGGGTAGGTCGGAGTCAACACGACTGTCTCGTGTCTTAGAGGTGATGAAGAAGGGGCGGTCTACCGGCAGCCTCAACTCTTCCTCCCGCAGTGAGTCAGAGCGCCCTCCCGAGCCCGCCTTGCACCTCAATATCACAGAAAGGCTCAAGTTCCGTCTGCGCACATCTGCTGATGACATGTTTGGCGTGGGTGCCCAAAAGAGCCAGTCTTCCCCGGAGACCCGCAGCAAGAAGAAAAACATCCGGCGTAGGCACACCATGGGGGGCCAGCGGGACTTTGCAGAACTGGCCGTCATCAACGACTGGAGGGAGCAAGGAGGGGTGGACCAGGCGGCTGAGCTGTCAGCCATGGACCGCCTCAAGCCAAAGTGCTCCTCTCAGGACTTCTCCATTCGGGACTGGATCGCCCGCGAGCGCTGTCGGGCCGGAGTGTCAGAGTTCAGCATGGACACCCCACCCAAAGTTGTCCCAGAGGGGAACAGGGCACAAGCACAGGGCACCACCCCAGAGAGGCCCTCTGGCTCCCCAGGCCTACAGCCTATGGTGGGGGAGCAAGTGAACGGAGGTGGGCCGCAAGGCAAAAACAAAGCCAGCCTCAACCTGGCGGCTGACGACGCGCACCCACACAAACTGTCAGGAGCACAAGTCGTCCGCTCACGATTCTATCAGTATCTATGAAACAGCAAGGGTGTGTTGAGTGTACAAGAGTGAGTGCATGAGATAAGACAGAACGGGTTTACGTATGTATTAAGATACCTTACCAAGGGTTACTGCACTTCTTTTTTTTTTTTTACAAAATATATATATTTTGTATATATATATATCTACTGTACATATGTGTATAGGCTCATAAGAAATGTAACTGGAGTCAAGTTAAACAGGTTTGTTTGTGTGTCATCGCTTTAGTTGACTTGGTGACTTTGTACTGGAACAGACATTAAAAATTCACTTCCATCCTTGTGCTCAAATCCCAGTAATACAAGAACATTCATAGGTGGTTTTGTGTGATCGACAGCACACACATCAATGGGACGTGAAAGCCTGGACTGTGATGCATTAACTTGAGTATTACTAAAGAATACATAACTAATTCTACAAGAGGTAGACATTTAAGGAAATTACGTTTTCAATGTATATTCTTAATTATGTTGACTAACACAGTTGCTTGTTAGAATTACATTTTTAAAAAATCAGTACTTGAAGTATGCTCATTTCTGAGGGCTGCTTTCTGAGCTGTGTACTGTGGGGAGTTATTTTTTACAGTGCATCATAACAGACATATTTGCTTGAGGGACAGAATTATGGTTGTTTTTATCAAATAAAAAAAATGTAGTGTAATGTATGATAGATGCTTGGTACGCTTGGTATTCGGAACCCTCTGTACAATTCAAGTCCACATTTTTTAAAAACTTTAGTAATCATGTTTGATTCTTTATTAAAGAAAAAGTGCCTCTTGAATTGATTTATGGGAATAGATAGGGTGCCATGTTTTTTCCCACACTTGTAAACACAATATTTTGTTTAATTACTTAATTGTATCAAGGAAACACAATTATTTTACTGTTTTAAAAAAGTAACATCATGCAAAAATCCAAGCTTCCAATTCTAAGGCATTCCGGTCTTGTTGTTTTTTGGGTCCTATTAAGTTCATATTTCAATGTATATATTTTTTTTTCTCTTTGTATTTTTCAAGTGCAGTAAAAAAGCATGGTTACTTATGACCTGGGAGAAATGTTCATCTCTGAAAACTGTATGAAACAATGCTTCCTGGACAGTGAACAGCTTGCCTGTGTACAGCAAAACAAGGGTGCAACACCCTCCCTCAAGAAACACTGGAAATAAATAATCTTTATTTGATTCTGTTTGTCCTGTCCAGGTTGTTTTACTTTAGACTTAGTTTTCCCGATTTGCAAAGGAAAGCCAATGGAGCACTATACCATGTGCAACCTTTATATAATGTTTAGTTTGGGCTCATTTAATCTAAAAATACATTTAGGGTTTCATTCAATCCGTGGCACTGAAGACCTGCGCCACAGTGCAATATAAATGTAAAGGAAATGTTTGTGGCAACTGCATTCGCTGTAAGCGCTGTATACTGTATGTTGGCTCAATCGTAAATAACCTTTAAATTGCACTACAGCACAGATCTTAATAATATAATAATAATATGCCATTTAGCAGACGCTTTTATCCAAAGCGACTTACAGTCATGCGTGCATAAATTTTTGTGTATGGGTGGTCCCGGGGATCGAACCCACTACCTTGGCGTTACAAGCGCTGTGCTCTACCAGCTGAGCTACAGAGGACCATCTTCAGTGCTACAGATTGAATTGAGCCCTTAAATAGTTAATGGTCCACTGATATAGATGGTGAAAAGTGAATTGCTGGCTAAAATGATTAGTTTGGGGGAGGTTCCCTGACAATTCTAACACCACAAGTGATGAAAGGTAATATGAGCCTTGAGCTTGCTACTCAAGGAGTAATACAAAGTGGTAATAGTATGGCATTTGTAAGTCATGGATGGGATTACCAGCTGCTGTGTGTCATCGGAATTGCAGTCCAACCTCAACCACCAGAAAGCAGCTGACCAAAGCAGGTATGTGCACAGATAGGGTTCTACCAGAGCACATGCCCGTTTGCCCTATCAGTCTCCAAAGTGCCCTTTTTGGTGGCGGTATTATTTCCCAAAAAAGGTTTTATTTTATTTATTTACAGTGCCTTCAGAAAGTATTCACACCCCTGAACATTTAAATGGTGATTTATTTGTCACTGGCAAAGTGGAATTATGTTTTTTGAAATTTCTACAAATTAATTACAAATGAAAAGCTGAAATGTCTTGAGTCAATAAGTATTCAACCCATTTTATGGCAAGCATAAATAAGTTCAGGAGTAAAAATTTGCTTAACAAGCCACATAAGTTGCATGGAATCACTGTGTGCAATAATAGTATTTAACATGATTTTTGAATTACTGACTCATCTCTGTACCCCATTTTAGTCATTTAGCGGACGCTCTTATCCAGAGTGACTTACAGTTAGTGAGTGCATACATTTTTTCATACTGGCCCCCGTGGGAAACGAACCCACAACCCTGGCGTTGCAAGCGCCATGCTCTACCAACTGAGCTACACGGGGCCCCACACAGTTCTGTAAGGTCCCTCAGTTGGGCAGTGAATTTCAAACACAGATTCAACCACAAAGACCAGGGAGGTTTTCCAATGCCTCGCAAAGAAGGGCACCTACTGGTAGATGGGTCAAAATAAAATAAAAAGCTGACACTGAATATCCCTTTGAGCAAGATGTAGTTATTAATTACACTTTGAATGGTGTATCAATACACCCAGTCACTACATATACAGGTGTTCTTCCTAACTCAGTTGCTGGATAGGAAAGAAACCGCTCTGGGATTTCACTATGAAGCCAATCGTGACTTTAAAACAGCGTTTAATGGCTGTGATAGGAAAAAAAACTGAGGATGGATCAACAACATTGTATTTACGCCATAATACTAACCTAATTGACAGTGAAAAGAAGCCTGTACATAAAAAATATTCCAAAACATGCATCCTGTTTGCAACAAGGCTCTAAAGCAATACTGAAATAAATGTGGCAAAGCAATTAACTTTTTGTCCTGAATGCAAAGTGTCATGTTTGGGGCAAATCCAATACAACATCACTGAGTACCACTCTCCATATTTTCAAGCATAATGGTGGCTGCTTCATGTTTTGTTTACCACTTTTTCTCCCCAATTTCGTGATATCCAATTGGTAGTCAGTCTTGTCCCATCGCTGCAACTCCCGCACGGACTCGGGAGAGGCGAAGGTCGAGAGCCAAGCCGCACGGCTTCTTGACACGCCGCTCGCTTAACCCGGAAGCCAGCCGCACCAATGTGTCGGAGGAAACACTGTACAGCTGGCGACCGAAGTCAGCGTGCAATGCGCCCGGCCGCCACAAGGAGTCGCTAGAGTGCGATGGGACAAGGCCAAACCCTCCCCTAATCCGGACGACACTGGGCCAATTATGGGTCTCCCGGTCGGGCCAGGCTGCGACACAGCCCGGGATCGTGGCTGCATCGTGTTATGCGCATGCTCATAATTGTTAAGGACTGTGGAATTTCAGGATAAAAAAGAAACAGAATGGACCTAAGCACAGGCAAAATCCTAGAGGAAAACCTGGTTCAGTTTGCTTTCCACCCGACACTGGGAGATGAATTTACCTTTCAGCAGGAGAATAACCTAAAACACATGGGCAAATCTACAATGGAGTTGCTTACCAAGAACACAGAGAACGATCCTGAGTGGCTGAGTTACAGTTTTGACTTAAATCTACTTGAAAATCTATGGCAAGACCTGACAATGGTTGTCTAGCAATGAACAACCAATTTGACAGAGTTTGAAGAATTTTGAAAATAATACTGGGGAAATGTTGCACAATCCAGGCGAGGAATGCTCTTAGCGAGACTTAACTAGAAAGAATCAAAGGTGCTTCTACAAACTATTAACTCAGGGGTGTGAATACTTGCGTAAATGAGACATTTCTGTATTTCATTTAATACATTTGCAAAAATTTCTAAAAACATGTTTTCACTTTGTCATTATGATGTATTGGTTGTAGATGGGTGAAAAAAAATATTTAATAAATTTTGAATTCAGGATGTGTAACAAGTCAAGGGGTGTGAATACTTTCGGAAGGCACTGTATATGGTAACTTGGGGGTAAACGTCCCCCTCCTGTAATTCTCACAGAAACCACTGTCCCCTATTGTATTTTTACACTTTCCCTGGATGCCACTAGTCTTGCTCAACTAAATTAAAAAATCTCAACTGTCACTCCAACAAAATGATTTTGAGGTACTTTGATCTAATATGTCATTTAGAAAAGTTATAATCTAATGAAGTTAGATCTAAAAACGTTTTATATACACCATTAGGAGAACCTAAATATAAATAATCCACTTGGTTAGAGAGAAACATTTTAATCAGTTAATAAAATAGTCAAACTTAAAGTGAGTATGTTTGGGGCAAAACACACCCCAACCAGTCAGGCAAAATGCCCCCAGGGCAATCCAATGCAAGTCAATGGCACCTATATTAGCATTTTCCTAATCATGTCCAAATTATCGATAAGTAACTTCATTTAGTTACACAATACATTTTGAGATACTTTAAGATGATTTGGATAGAAAGTGCAAAACTAACAGTGAGGATATTTAGTGAGATGTGCAGTTTCATTTGGTTTCACTTTTGATTTAAAATAAGAAACCTAGACTTCAGCTTTTAAGAATCAATTTCTCATAAATGCCTAAATAAAATGTATAAAATGGATTTTACCACACTAATCTCCGGGGGGCATTTTGTCCTGCTAGTGGGGCAAAATGCCCCCATTCTAAAGTTTGTTTTTATTGAATAACAAAACAATTCTGCCTGCTTATTTCCCTTCAAAATGTATTTGCCTAAAGATAGCCAGTATGCACTATGCTTCAGACCAAAAAGTTGCAAGTCTTGATTGTTGACCAATGACCAGTCATCAGCAATATCGTGCAAAGATCCAGATTAGTGACCTAAAACCTAACTTTTTTTTTTTCATTTCCTCCAGATTTGCCTGGCAAAAACAGGTCTACGTTTATCATCCATGTCAAATCTATTACCAACTAATCTTTGCCAGAATAGGCTACCTGGCGATTTGAGTGATCATTTTCATATAGGCCTTTGAGTGGCTACACCAAAACGTGCACCTGGGGGGAGGGAGGCAGGACAGTTCTGTAGCCCATCTTGCGTTTTGAAAATGCATCACCATTTATGGCTTTAATAATATAAATAATGTTGTAGGCTGTGGGTCACTGATCAAAAACCACTGGGATACATGATAGTGGCAACAAATGGAGTTGAATATAGTAATGGTAGGCTACAGTATTTATTAGAATCTTCAATAGAGTACCACAGTATGAGTCATAATACCCATAAAACCTAGTGATCAAACAGGGAAATTGTTTCAACATGGGTGGTTTTAGAAACACTTAAAATAAGGGCTGTTTCGTGTAGGCTTACCCTGGCGTGACGTTTTGATAACCATGTCTCTAGGACAAGGTGACTTACGAGTTGTGCATAATACTTCACTCAGATTGTGCTGCTTTCCCCCTTGTAATTGCTCAACAAGTATGACTGCAGTAAAAAAAAAAAAAAAAAAAAAAAAATTGGGTTGCCCTTTAAGTTTGAGCACATGCCCCCCAAAAGGTCTGTGCAAGGCCCTGGAGCAAAGGTACTGGAGGAAGAGAACTTGTGACTAAATACCATTTGTATGACACCTGAATGTCAAAGAGATGTCCAGCTTTCTCCACTTTGACGAACCAACTTTAAACATAGCAAAAGAGCTGCAAAATGTACTTAGTATTGTTAGGCATTCCATGAGAAATTAAAACTACACTTGAAAGCCGTATAAATGGTCATATTCTTTCAGATATGGTCTTCCAATGAAATGCATCAGAAATATTCAATATACATTTTATTTAAGAGTTAGAAAAACAGAGAACTAAGAGCGCTTTTCAATCCGCATCGCTGAAGTTCAGCGTTAATGTGATGGAAATGTTCCCGAGTTGCAGAGACCGCATTCATGTCGGATCAATTGGAAATTACCTTTATATTTCTATCACGCAATCTGTAACGCTTCAGCGATACAGATTGTATAGTGCCCTAAAACATTTAAAACGTGGGGAAGACTGTAGTTAGTGGAAGGGCTTTTTCAGCAAGGGTGTGGTCCTGACAGATTTCCTCAGTGTCCTGGCAATGGTGCTTGTTCGTGGCGACGTCACAGATTGCCTAATGTTGGCCATGAAACCACGCTTGGGCTTGGACTGGACAGGGGACTTCTGGGATAGCTTGGCCAGCTCTTCTTTTAACGCCGCCAGTTCTTTGTCCTTCTCCAGATTGCCCTTACCTATACTCTCCAGATCCTGTGCCTGAGAAACAGAGATATGACGCTGTGCACATCAGGTTTTCCTAAGTGACCACTGACAAACTAGGCTTAATTTGTACATGCACACAGGTTCATAGTCTTTACCTGGTCAGCTAGCTTCTTATGTAAAGTCTCTATTTCTGCCGTTTTTTCAAAGAAGCAGTCTCCGGCCTCACGTAGTGCATCATTCAGAACTGTTATCCTTTTTTCCAAAGACACAATCAGCTGGAAATAAGCAAGAGACATGCCAGGTTTGAGTTCCAACACCTGGGTTTCAAAATGTATTACACCGTTTTCCCTTATAAAAACACTGACTATAAGTTATGCCTTCAGGTTTCCTTACCGCTTGTTTCTGCTCACAGAGTTTCTCCACTGCACTTTTTTCTTTCAAAAGGAGTTTGCATCTCTCTGCATCTTTGGAAACAGCTGTGATGACATCACCTGCTGAGACTTCTGAAATCAATAGGTAGATATTAATATCCAGCCTTTCCTGTCATTTAAATTGATATAGGCTTATTGTGCGCACAGTGATTTGCAGTTTAAGTTTATGGTATAGAATATAGGCTCACTTTACACAATCAGATTGACAGTTTATGTTAATGAAATAATAGTTACAATACTGAGGCAAGGGAGATGGTGTACTGACCCGTTAACCCTTCCTCCATAGCCACAGGTGGTGGTGGTGAGATGCTCTCTGTCTGGCTCGAGTTATCTTTGGTTGGAACCATAAATGAACCCACTGTGGAACCTGACAGCTTCCGTTCCATCTCAGACAGCTTCTGTTCTAGTGCCTAAAGGGATTATGAGTTCATGGGCCAGATTTACCAACCCTTTGCACCTAGTACTAGTTTTTTACTTCCCAGAGGAAATAAACCATATAAAAAACGGGTGCAAACACTTGGAAGATCTGGCCCTAAATGATACGAAACAGAACACATTGGTCTAAATTGACAGAATTAATATCTGACCATTTGAGCAGGTGGTTGTAGCAGGACCTTGTCAGTCACCTAAAGTCAGTGTCTAATACCTCTACTTTCTCCTGCTCAGCGATGAACTCATCAAGGGGTACGTAATCATCCTCTACGCGCTCCAGCGCCCGCTGGTAGGCATGGTCCTTTAGGGCATCCTTGTACATCTCAAATGTGTTCTCCAGCTTCTCCTGGTAGCTCTCCTTCAGCTCAGCCACCTGACGACTAGAGCAACATTTACACTGTCCTTTCATAATGTCATTTGGAAGACAGCTTATGGGTGTGGGCAAATGCACAAACAGTGAATTATAATTGAAGTGAAAACTACATGAATGGTATTCATTAGATCTTAAATTAATTGTAAACTATAGTGCAACAATGCACCCCATCCACCACCAATGTGTAGCACTGACATGGGTGTTGCATGGCAGCCATTTTGCATGAGAACACTAACATAGTGGAAAGGGGGAAGGTGTGATTGTGCCCAATGTGAAGCTCGGGGAACACTCACTTCCTGAGTTCCTCGCTCTCCATGAGTTGCTGCAGCATAGCGTCTCCCATCTCCTTGCGGATGTCAATCTCCTGGACCAAGTTCTTCCGTCGCTCAGCCAGGAGCTTGGTCCTGAGATTCTCGATCACATTCAGGAGATCCTAGAAAATGGGAGTAGTTCAAAGTAGTCAGACACCAGTGATTCTGGAAATTAACATTAAATGTAATTGCACTATTTTAATTGCATCCGTCCCTATAAAATAAATCAGAAATAGCAGAACACTGGCAAAATCTTTTAGACTTTGGATGGCAAATACCTCCTGGGGTAAAATGGACATGTCTGCTTCATCTTCATCCAGCAGCTCTTCTTCAGACAGGTAGTGCTCTAGAGCCTGGTCGTCGATGACCCCGTTCTTCAGCAGAGGCTTCCCATCGCGCCCCACCAGCCGCGGGGTTAGAGACTCTAGAGACTTTGTTGGGATCAGTTGGACCACCTGGGACAACAAAGGAGATTAGTACCCATAGGGCTCTGGCCAAAAATAGTGCACTATATAGGGAATAGGGTGCCATTTAGAAAACACTTCTAGTACTTCTTAGTGAAGGGTGTCACACTTGTTTACTCCCCCTACCATATTTCTCACACTAATCCTCAATGAGGGCGAGTGAACAAGTGCACTTTTGCTAGACATTTTGACAAATGGAATTGTTGACCGTGACACCTATAGGGTGATGAAGGGCATTGCAACTGACCACTACATTTTTCAACCATAGAGACAAGTGCGAAAATCATAGACTCAACTCTAAACCTAGATGGAGGGGCATGTTGACATGGTGGGCGAGAGAGACCAACCTGCTTGGCGATGGCAGAGAACTTCATGACGTGGAGAGTTTCGTCATATGTGGATGCACACTGATTGATGTTCACAATCATGGAGGCTCGGCCCTTCCCACAGAAGATGGACTGGAAGAGACGGGTCAGTTTGCTCTCCCTGAAGGGAATATAGCCGTTCTTCATCCTAATAGAGAAGAGGAAAGGACGACAACCTGTGAGTTTCTCAAATATCAGCTTTCCAATCAGTTTTATTCATGGTTTGGAAACATGTATTTTTATTTGTCTTGTAGATACAATACATTTACCTGACAAATCAGGTTTGTGTGCAACATTTCATCAAATTTGTCAAGGTGGTTTTTTAGCAGTGGTGTTTATACGGTCATTCTGGTAATCAATGGCAGTGGTGTTTATACGGTCATTCTGGTAATCAATGGCAGTGGTGTTTATACGGTCATTCTGGTAATCAATGGCAGTGGTACTTCTTCTGTACCCATCACTCTGGTTGCTGCGCAGGGCAGCGATGCATTTCCCCAGGATGAGCAGAGAGTTGTTGATGTTCCCTGCTTCCTTCAGCCTCTCCCCAAATGTCTTAGTTTTGCCGCATCTTTCCGAGCCAGCCAGGTCACACAGAGAGAGTCTGGGGTGGAAAAAGACAAAATAATCCCATTCGGAGTATGAAATCTCACAAGGATGGGTTGGTGTCACATGGCTCTATGGTCTTGCAGCTTATTCAGACTTGGACAAAGCGTGGAGTCTTGACAAGTTGCAGCACAGCATTGTAGTTCATCCTAAAACTGCATTATGAATTTACTCAAACACTGAAGCTGACAAATTAAGGATAATGGAGGATTAGATTTCTGCTAACTGCAGTTAGATGAGTGAACCATTGGCTGGATTTTATGTATAAAGCACTTATGGTGACAACCATTGTTTGCCAGTGTTGATTCTAGCTTGAAATACACTTATTCATGTCACCATATTAGAACTTATTGATTACTTGTATAATGAATGTATATGTTGGGGTCAATGGAGGGTGGATAAGACTAAGTGTATGGAAAGTTAATCAGTGGATCCTATGGCGGGAGGCAAAGGGCAACAGTCTGCTTTTAGTCACTGATAAGGTAGGACAGCTGTGGATTAGGGATGAGTAAGGAATTTGGCCCGAGGTCAGGTCAGATGAAGTGAGGAACAGTCCTGTTACACACATGCTTACATGCCCACGAAGGTTCTAATAGGAGGCGGGGCCATAACTACACCAGTGTGTGGAACCAATTAAGGTCCTGACTAGCAACAGAGATGTGTTGGCTATCTAGATGTGCAAGGAGGTGACTCCTAGTAGGAGGGTATAAATATATGTGCTTATGGAAACATGTCTTTGTTTTTGCAGCTGTTTGACCCAGTGGGTGAATAAACTTGGTTTGAGCTTTTCCTAGTCATCCATTTGAGTTTCTCTGTTTAGAACCTAACACCAGGTACAATATGGATGAAAGTCAATACTCACTCTGACATACTCTGAACCGCAGTTCCATCAATTCTCAGTAATTTGATGGTAAATATGCTGTGGCTGTGATAGGAGAAAAATTAAAAGATTACTACAATTATTTTATGCATCTCAGCAATCCACAGAGTATAAAATAAACATTAGTGAACATGCCTTCTGCTTGATGAATGGTTCATCTTAGTGGAAGCAGCACTTCGGTTTTTATTTCCAACTCTGAGAATTTTGCATGCCTCCTCTAAGTTGTGAACATTGATCCACTTTAGATCTGAAAGGGGAAAAATATTACCATCCATTTCAGGACTACATGAGCTATGGTCTGCATCAAAGCAACCATTGAATAAAACTGAAGGGAACTTGTGGGTACTTCGTTTTAATGGGCATGACATCCCACTGCCTACACACACCTCTGACATATGAGTTGCCCGCACTGTCCTCACACACACGGAGGGCTGTGCGTCTCTTTGTCTTGAAGGTAGGCGACGCCTGCAGCAGGTCATACACACTCTCGTTGTAGATCTCGTAGAACGACACCCACAGGGCGAACAGGCTCCGGTCCCGCTCACCAGACGACGCATCCACAAACTCAACTAGGATGCAGAGAACCACATAGGATCCAGTTTAGGCATTTTTATCATTAGCCATTCCAGAATACAGATGTCTGACTTCAACAGAGATGGGCTTACAGATGTGATGTACCTGTGTTATCAGTGTTATCATAGGAGACTGAGAAGGAGAGGCTTCCCGTAGAGGACGAGTAGGATGAAACTCCACTGACTCGTGGGGGTTCATTTTCCTATGTGGGGGTGAATAATGAAGATAAGGGGGTTAAGAGATTAGGGTAAAACAAACAGACAGTAAGATGACATCTTCTTTACATGACCCATCAACTAATTAGGCTACTCCATATTATGCGTCCATGTTCACCTCTTTGAGTAGAGCAAATACAGATGCTTTGGTGTTTCTTTCCTGTTTGACCTGGTCAGGCCCTAGGTACTGAGCGTCGCTACTGAGGTACGGCTTCAGATCCATGTTCTCATACTGTCTCCCTTTGATGCGTCTGAAGATGACATCCAACGCCTGGGGGAGAATACCAGGGTCTTTCTGGGATCCTGCAACATACCAAAAAAAACAGAAGATTGTCTGTCCCTTGCGACCAGTCCTTCATTGACTACTATCAGTCACAGCCAGGTGCATAGATTTCAACCGATGTGTATAAACCCTGGATGACTGAGAGGGGGCGCTGTATTGAAGCTACTGCACAGCCATTGTGGTACTCCTCCATTGTAAAAAATATTTAGGAAGCTATATAAATTAATGTATTAATGTTTACAGTCATTTGACAAGTATGTTCTATTACAGACACCTTAATGCATATTTTGAAATCATATGTGAACTGAACACAAAATAAAAACATTCCTGAACTTTTTTGGGGGAGTACCAATGCTATGGTCCCCACTACAAAGAAAGTCAAAGACGCAATTTTCTCTTATTGAAATACTGTAGAATTCCATTAATTCCTATGGAGAACTGCTTCTTCTGAGTACCACCAGTATTGTGTCGGGTGGCTTCAAAGCCTCTAATTGGCCAACACATAGCATTACCATCATTGGTTTCAACAGGTCAACTCAGAAGGATAGAGAAGTACACAGGATATGGGGCAAAAATCCTATGTTTTTCAAGTGTGAGGTTCTCTCGCTCTTACTTGTCCTCCAATACACAAAATGCAAGAACCTAACACAAACAACCCCAACACAGCTAATCCTATCCAAACAGAAGTTGGGAGGAATAATTAGCTTTGATAAGCAGGAAGATTACTATGAGCAGGGAGGTTACTTACTAGTGGACTTACCTTGAATTGTGTGGGTCTTGCCTGCATTGGTCACACCATAGCTGAAGACCAGAGCATTCTTCCCCTCCAGATAATCGTTTACTTGGCTTTTGATGGTGCCGTCGAAGAGATCTGCCTGCTTCGTCTCAGGCCCAAAGATCTGAGTGAAATTAAAACATGACACCAATAACATTACATTTGAGTCATTTAAGAGGCACTCTTATCCAGAGCGACATACAGTCAGGATCAGGAACTGCCCAATCCTTCCTAAACAAACAAGGCATTAAATCACATTACATGTTAGCCAAACCTGAGAGAATGAGAATTGATGCGTCGCCTGGCCAATGCCCTTCTCACTGCTTTTCATGGTAGCAGAGCCTTTGGGCGCATGTAGCATTACCGTGCTGGCATTCTCAAGAACCACACAACCCTGCAGAGAGACGAGGAGAATGTGGGAGAGGTGTGGATCAGGGAAGATAGTTTATAGGACATTAGGAAATGGCACCTTCAAATAGTTTGTAGACCTGGGGTCAAGACAATTACGTATATGGTACATTTGAAACCTGACCGTATACACTGAAATATGACTGTTTAGATTAGGATTGGCATTTAAAAATGGCCACATATATACCTGGTCCTCATTGTTGGAGATCTCATCCTTGGAAAAGGGCCTCACCCTTAGGTAGACCCTCAACTGCTGGTGTTTCTGCTGCCGCTCTGCAGTGTCCAACACCTCACTCTGGCCAGGAGACAAAGATCCATTATGAGTCAATACAATCATGGGTTGCATCCTAAATGGAACCCTATTCTCTCTGTAGTGGTCAAAAGTAGTGCACTATACAGGGAATAGGGTACCATTTGGGACAACTATACTATTCATTACTCAAACTGTCAATCAATAGGCCATTGTAACATTTAACATAGGGAGTACCTGCATGGAAGCAATAGAGGAGAGTTCTGAGAGCACGTCTCGATGGGGATTACACGCATGGAGATCATTGCACGTAGACTCCATTGCATCAAGTACTGTGCCATCATGGGTCAAATCAATGATCGTTGTCATGTCTAAGCAAGAAACAGACGTTAGGGACTCAAATGTATGTGAGAACCAATAATTTTGCTGTATTAGGATTTCACGTTTACTTACGACCGGAGGAAGCCATAGTACTGAATGAAATAGATTGATGGTTTACGAGTCAGGAAAAATACACTCCAACAAAAAAAATGATAAAACTAAAAGTATTGTTTATGAACCTCAACACAAGATAACATGCAGTCAGCGTTTCCAATATCAGTAAGCCAAAATACTCTACTGAGGACCAAACAACTTCAAGTTAAAATCACTACTTAATTGAGAACAGGTGGAATCCTGGGTTAACCAATCACTTTTCAGAAGGTTTGCACAACCTCTAATTGGCCCCTAGGCCCTACCTACTACCTAGGGATGTAGATGGTTTTTTAAATATAAATATCAAATAATTTTTTTGTAACAATTAAGTACTTTACTGTAATAGTTGTCCATTAAAATAGACAAAAATAGCTTCTTTAGTAACAAAAAATTCTCAACCAAGAATTTTGCTAGGACTGTCTGTGAGTGGTCTGAGGGGAAAAAACTGTTATTTGCAGAGGTTTGGAACTCTTTGTTATTGGTCAATTCACCAATTGGTGATGTCACCAGGCAAGCCGAAATTCCCGCCCATTCAAACCAGCTGATTAGAAGGTTGTCTAGATTGTATTTTTCACACTTTTACAGTGTTCGTTTAATCCGATGTTGTACAATATGATACACAACACAGGAAAAATAGGATTTTGACTGCACTTGCCTTTAAAGGATTGTCCTGGTTTAAGCTAACCTAATGTAGTTGGTGTAAAAGTAAACGACTGAGCGGAGTTCCCACACCCGGTTATCAGCAGAAAAGGAAGCTAGATTGAATTAGCTGTATCCCTGAAAACCAGATACATCAGTTGTCGAACTCCGTTATAGAGTTAGTATGGTAATAGTTCCACCTTACCCTCTGATAGGCTATGTAGAATGTCAGCCATATTGTATTCACGCCTTTCAGACATCTTCACGTGTCTAGGGTAGGGGCTTGAAGTCCATTTCATAGGCACTATATTGATTTACAAGGAATGCATTAAGTCTCTAACATGTGAGACTTAATCCAGCCAGTAGGTGGCACCCGGGTTAAATAAGCCAATTCAAAATTAATGAAACGTTCTGGTTAGATATAAGAAATTGACAGGAAAGAATCTGTTGGTATTCCATTTTCATATCGACTAGACCGCTTAACTATTGAGATGTACGCAGAATGAATTGCATTTCTTTGTTTTAGGTGAGGGAGGATGCGAGAGGAAGCAATCGCCACAGAATGGTCAGTTCAACTTAGTTCTAAACATTTTGCAACAAGGTCTATTACAGGTATGAAAAGGGGGCTGCCATCAAAGACTATGATAACCAACCCAATAAGGCTTCCCCTTTCCTCAGTGGTAGCATTGGAGGGCTTACTGGTTTCCCATTATCAACAAATTTGAGTTCACATCATAACCATCAAGTGTTACTCTTATTAAAATGTAAATCCACCAATGACTAAACATCCTGTACTGCAACCCCACTTATGTTATGAGGACCAGGCTCAGTCAAGTTAGGAGAAAAGCCATTGTTGATGAAATAGTCCTACATTGATTGTGCCAATTCCATAGAATAACACTCCATTTTCCAATAAAAGCATCCATCTCCTCATGAGTAGTACAAGTAACCACTGCAACATTTAAAATCCCTCGACATTGAATAATAAGCCAAGACATCCACGCAATTCTGTTTCCAGGTTTTATTGCATGGGGTACAAAACAGCTTATGCGTCAGCGATGGTGACCTCAACCTCTACACCAGGCTCAATGCTGATGGAGGTGATCTGCTTGACAATCTCAGAGGGACTGTGCAGGTCGATCAGACGCTTGTGGATCCGCATCTGGAAACGATCCCAGGTCTTGGAACCCTCTCCACAGGGGGTCTTCCTGGTGGTGATGCGCAGAGTCTGAAATGAGATTAGAAAATAAAACAGGATGCCACCCATCAAATGGTGAGAGGAAGAGTCATTAAATATTTTGACTAAGTTAACACCAGCACAACTTCTTAACACCTTTCCCTGGAGCTTAATGCCATCTGGTGGAAAACAAACTACCATTTCCCCTCATTCCAGTTTAGTCCTAGTGACCGTTTTGTTTTCTTAACAAATTGTCATGTCGTCCCCTATTCAATCCGAGCCGCCACTGGGGGAACGGGCAGAAAGCGAAGGGTCATTGATTTGGCATCACCTCTATAGAGACCCGGGGTAGACCACAGATGGGAGTCCCAGGCTGTCAAGGATGCGGAAAAGTCTAGTCCATTGTACATACCTTGGTGGGCATACGGACGGGTCCCTTCACCTTGAGGTTCTTCTCCTTAGCTCCACGGATAAGGTCTGCGCATACTAAGGACACAAAGTAAAATGGCTGCATGTCAAAAGAGGGCGACATTGTGCGCGTCAACGTGCTATCAATGGGCCCACATTGCTCAGAATAGCGTATTATGAATCAGAATTTGTCATAGCTTAAGCTATGTCATATCAAGTGTTTATCCTCATAGCCAAAGATGTTGACAAAGTTAATATAGTATTTAAAATGAGCTTACCCTTTTCCAGAGACTTGACGTTGCGGCTGGTGAGTGTGATACGGATGCGATGGATGGCAACCTCCGACTCAACAGGGGCTTTACCGGTGTCCTTGAACGCCTACAGGTGCAAGGAAAGAATGATGCATGTAAAAAGAGGGCAACTAAGTTGAATGTGTGCTTCAATGTGTAGTCCTGCTCAGAATAGCGTATTATGAATCAGAATTTGTCATAGCACGTTTGTATCCTCAGCCATAAGTGTTGAAGCAATGAATGTATGCATGCAAGGTAGCCAATTCTGACGGTTCTAAATCCAAGCTCCAGAAATAAAGTGAGGGATGAATGATTATTTCAGTAACTGCACCATCTGGGATACATCCTACTGTTTCAATGGCCACTTTAAATGTAAAGAGAATCAATCGTTAACTACCTAACTAGTGCTAACTGAAATATTAAAATGTACAATGCCATGGTTTGGTGACAAGATGTATAAACAATCTACACTTAAGGATTCAAAGTCCGTTAGCCAAGCCTTCATGTCAAAAAAAGTTATTTAGCATATGGGGGAAGCAATACTGAAAAGGGAGGGAAATGTCCTGTTGGCTAACAAGCTAACGTTAGTTCGTTAGCCAACTAGGCAAAGCCAAAAATCAGGCAGATTGGGTACATACTTCAGTTCCTTGTCTCATTTAGAAGCTACCCAACTATACCTCCTCACATCAAGACAACTCAGAACTACTTCAACATGATCTGATTACACCCATTAATTGGCAGAAAGCCATCCCCCAAAATGAATCGCTACCTAGCCATCTTCCCTAGCTACTACACGTGCAACCGCCCGGATTCAGAGCGACCAACGCTACCGGACTGTTCGTCCATCTACAGTCTCCGCATTGTGAGCTAGTTATATGATGATTTTTGCGTATAGTTCAAGAAAAATAAATTTACCATTTTTCTTTATATTCCTGACCGACTTATTCGTAAGTTCCAAGCGAACAGCGGTGAGTCAGGAACCTGTCCTCACTATCAGTTCTTCGCGAAAGGGCATAAGAGAGGCCTGCTTCCGTTTATATACACACTACATCATGGCACCACGTGACCTTTGTGCCAATAGAATAGCCTGAACACCAAGGAGGCGTATCTGAACCAAATCACCCCTAAAGGCCCCGTTCGAATTATTTGAAAGGGCACCTATCCTCCTCTACTCCCTACTTTGAACACTTGAATAGAATAAAATATAATAGAGACTTTATTATCCATGTTTTCTATTGAGTAATGTAATGTATGTTTCTATGTAATGTATTGCACTGGACCACAATGGAAATAAATCATTGACTTTGTGTTATCCCTGTAAAGTTTTAAAAATGTACTGTGTGTATTTTTTGGGGGTCAAATAAAATCAGTTCTTCCAAGGGACCTAACTTTCCACCTTCCACCTGAATAAGCCTGTATTGTCTCTGTTGTGTGGAGTATGGTGCTGTGGCCAACATCAACTTTTCTGCCTTGTCTGATATGTGATTTTTGCCTGCTATGTAGGCCTGTTATTTCTTTTTATGTGCTGCTGTTTAAACCACCTACATCTAGCTGAAGATCAGCCATTTCATAGCCTAAACCAGGCACATTTGCAGCTATGATTATATTTTTTCCCCCCTTATGAAAATAAAATTTGTTTCATTTTCTTCTGAGACATGACACACCCGTTGTATACATTGTTGTAGGTTAGACCATAGATCAGTCAACTTAAGTTTTAATTTCTAAGTGTAAGCCTAAACACACAATTACCAAACAAATCATTTCAACATGAGCAACACAGGTTAAGCTGTTTTTCTGTTGATACTGTAGAAGTCATCCCACTAATTCAGTTGCAATACTAGAAACACCATTCCAGTACAAATCAAGGATGTTTAATGAAAACTCATCAAATATCTAGAACTTTACATACATTTCAGATGTGTTGCACGCACAGACTGCTGCCGACATTAAAATTTATTTGACATTTAAACATTTTTAAATCCTTATAAATCAAGTAAACAAGTAAAACAATTTAGTCCACAGTGCAAAACCAACTTCAGTATCAGACATTTAAATCGTTCGACGTTCTGCGTTTAAAAAATGAGTAGATTAGGTAGCATGTGTTATAATACACTTAAGCAGTATTGGCAGAAGAATGACAGCATCAAACTAATCTGTGGTGTTCCATTGGGGCTTGCCATTCACAATTCACTTAAATTCAGTAAAACATGGGAGTCTAACTGGCTGTGCGTAAAAGCTGTGCGTAAATTTAAAATGTGTAAAAATGTATGGACACAACTGACGGATCACACCATGAATAGGCTGGCTTGATAATGACAAATAAAAAGATTAAGGTTCGGACCGGATCTTGTCCAGATCTGTGATTACATCTTGAGCGCTTGGTCTCCAGCTTGGCTCGCCGCTCCAGCACTTGGACACAATGGATCGGCAAAGGTCCCCTTGGTGTGAGTTGAAGAAGGACTCAGTGACCGAGGGGCGTAAATCGTATGCAACCACTGCATATAAAACATGCTGCCTGTCGCCTGTATAGGGCTGCTCTCTGGTGATCATTTGCCAAAGAGTGATGCCAAGGGAGTAGATGTCTGATTTTGGAGACACGTCTTCCCCCTTCAACAGCTCAGGCGCTCGGTGGGTGTATGTGCCCCCGCCATGACTCATTTGGGGCGTGAGGCTGGACAGATTCCCCCCCGAGCTCCAATTTCAGTGAACAGCCAAAGTCAACAATCTTACACACATCCTCCCTCGAGACCAATACATTGGCCGGTTTGATATCCAAATGGACAATACCATGGGAATGCAGGAACCGAAGACCATGCGCAATGTTTTTGGAAAACTTAATCCACCTGTCCACTTCGAGCGTCTCGGCGCAACCGTAGATGACCTGGTGGAGATTTCGTTCACCAGCGTATTCCATCACTATTGTGCCAATGTTGTCCCCGTTTTCTAAATTCGCCGGTATGCACGTGGTAGCTGCTATAATGCGCACAATGTTCTCATGGCGTAAATGAGCTGCATTTAGCTCAGCCCAAAAACTTTGCCTGGATGCGAGCTTATTCTTGACGCACTTCTTCACTTTTTTGACAGCGACAGTCTCTCCAAAGTACACACCTCTGTAAACGGACCCAAACCCCCCAGATCCGATGGGCTGCATGGATTGTAGTTCCTTCCAATCAATGGTGGACGACCATAGCCTGGTTGCAACCTTGCCATGGAACCGTTGAGTTGGGACTCGTAGGGTGGAATCGTTGGAATACTTTGCCAGTGGACTGCTGCAAGCTCCAAAATCGAGAGATGGATAAAGGTCTTTAGGCAACAAGCGTGTCGGGGGAATTGGGGATGGCATGTTCGGACCACCTTGTGCGCTTGCTGTAAAACGAGAGCTTGCGCGTGTTGGCTGTCTATTCACACAGCTGTCATTAGATCAGTTGATTGCTGGACCAAGAGGAAGCCCTAATGAGGAATAGCCTCTCATATTTAAAGTCACAGTCTGTCAATTTTCCAGTCATTTCAATAATGAAATATACGTCTACCCTTTGATTTTTTGAATAATACAACTTTTGAAGATCTATAGGCTACTCCATCGTTTTTTTTATGGGAGAGACTTCAATCATGTTTGAAAAGGTAAATGTTGCTCTCATTGAATGCCATTCCTTGAGCACTGTATATAATATAAATCAAGTGCTGCATGTAAAAATGTCATTGGATGAATAGATTTTCTGTCAGTAACCTTCTTTGTTGATCTGCACATCTAACAGAACCAGTGGCTAAAAGTACAAATTGGTTCAATATGCATAGGCTTATCTTTCCTTAAAATGTATTAATTATACATTCTTTTAGCTTGTAGAACTTGAAAATTACCAAGAAAGTCAATTAAAATATAACATAAAAATAAATAAAACTCCAGGACAATTCTCATGCACTTGTTTCACTATAAACATAATTTGTTTCAGTACTCATTTTACACACATACTGACACACACTTAAAAATGGACAAACAATTGTGGACTTTTGCATGAATCCTTCTTTTATGTTTATTGAGCTTTCATTACACTGTGTAATAACACTGGAGTTGAAGACTGCAGCTCTTCTCTCTCATAGCAGCAAGGTATTATGAAAACAAATCAGGTTACTCAGCCAGACAATAAATATTCTGTCTCTTTGGGCGATGTCAATGTTAGAAAATTTATAAAAAGCTGCAGCGTTAATTTCTATTTTACACAACTTATACACAAATATATGAATTATTTTGCCTATATTTATACAAGTACAACAGTAGTTTGTAAAATAGATTTTAAGTAAAATATACATGATTAGCAACATGAGTCCATTCTCACAGGATGGCATTGCAATGAACAACAAAACCAACATGGCTGGAATGCAGTTTGCCTCTGAACAAATCCCTCGGTATAAGTACTACTAGTCCTTTCAAAAAATGTGTCCCCTATCGTGGAGTCAAGATCTTCTTTATCTTCATCAAGGTAATCTCAGCCTGATTTTATACTGAGGCAACAAGTGAACACTCTCCCAAGCCCTTTCATGTCAATCACCAGGATGACAAAGGTTCCCCCATCACACCACCATACAAAGTGAAGGAGAGAAGCATGTGACATTACAGGCAAGTCCATACAAGACCACAAAAAGTCACAGTACAAAAAATAAATGTATATGAAAACAACCAGACACACATGCCGACCATTCAGCTCAATTTTATATTTTTGTAAAAACAAAACAAAGAACTAGAAAAGAGGTCTGTAGCACCTTAAGGAGCTTTAGAAGTATCAGTTAGCAGCTTGATCCAATACCAAAATATTGCAATATTGCAGTGTTTCTTACATACACATTCAACATGGTTCACTGGCACCACTGAAGCTTATAATGAAGGTTGACATGAATTGCTAAAGGTCTGTGTCTCTCACTGAAGAAACCCCTCCAACCAGATCCTCGGTCATCCATCAGGGAACAATAAAAGTGTAAAATATTGGGGATAAAAAAGTATATGAAAATATCAGTGTCCCAAGCACTTGAGCCTTATAAGTTACTCCAATACATTTAGTCCAACCTGTCAATTAAAAAAATAATGGTTAAGTCAACTAAGTGTGTTTAAGTGTAAATACTGGGATAGCTATATACACTAGCTCTCTGAATACTTTATCAAGGGTTAAAAGTCAAACAAATTGCCAGCGTAGATATAGATGGTAAGAAATTTGGCATATTTGAAATGGCAGCAATGATATCTTTACTATCCGACAGATAGATCCCTCAATGAGACACACAGAACATTTGTGCAAGTAAAGCAAAAATGACACTTAATGATAGTAAAACACAGTAAAAACTGTACCTGTAAAAAATAAAACATTTAATATTGTATTTACACATTAACTTTTTCTAAAGAGCTAAATATGACATCTATACTTTATGTAATAAAGGTATTTTAAACAAGAAAAAAAAGGTACTGGAGGAAACAAAGGCATAACATTTTCCCAAAGTGCTACGATTATAGAAGAACCTGCCCTATATAGAGGCTTACCAAACATTTTATGTAAAACCACAAACCTTCAAGATACATTGATAGCACACACCCCCATAACACTTGAAAACATTATACAGGCATTCAGCTTCCCCTTTCAATGACATCCCGTGGCCCTTACTAAAGTGATATTGTTTTCATTCAAGAAATGTTTGAAGGAACATGGAGGATTCAAAGCAGTTTTCTGCCTTAATGATTATTTTTAACAGAGTAAAACAATGTGAGTTTGCAAATGTTTTGCTCCAAGGGAAAACACTGCTGGACAGTCTGTGTTATGGTAAATACATTCACACCATTTGAAAGGTTGTGATATACAGTACAAACTGAGCATAGTCTTTTTTGAAACATACAAGTTGGAGATAAAGCTGAAGTTGCAACCTAAAGTGGACCTCACTGTAAATGAACAGCCCAGCTACTGTACTTTTTCAGTCATTATGATCAATCAAATCAATATCCACTCCCATTGGTTACATGAACTTACAGAGTTGGTCTACATGAGAATTGAGTGTTTAAGATTTAGTATAAATATATCCAAATAGTTCATCCCCTAAGACAAATGTTTTTAATATAATATATACCTATTTCAATTGGATCTATGTATAAAACTGATTATGGTTTACATGAGAGAATGAAATAGTAAAACTTGATTAATTCAACTGGATATGCAGTTTGTTGCAGCTATTGATCAAAACGCTATAGGCTTGCTTGTAATCAGCCCTGCTATACTGAAATGAACGAGGTTGAAAGGTGTCTGTGAGGTCCTCATTTTCAGAACATCTCCCTTTGAGTGAGGCAAAGACACTTATAAATGGCACTTCTCTAACGAGGGTAAAAAATACTGTAATATATATCCATTAAGGCCAAAGGTTGACTTTTATCTGAAACCAAACCTCTATCATCATAGCATTACATCCCAGGGGTATCAATATAATTCCTTCAATGATGGGATAGAATTGATCTGGCAACTAAGATCTCAGTTGTAACTGAAAATATCTTCCATACACTATCACTGAATAAAGCAGAAACATAGGCGTTTAGATTTACAGATGCACACGCATGCATACATGCACACACACAGTGCCAAGTACACAAGTTCCTAAAGACTGACATTATTCTGGCAGTGACCTACGCTGTTTCGTCTGACATAGTTGTTCAGGAACTGTTTGACGGCAGCAGGGTCACTGTCTCTCAGCACAGTGTCACAGCATCTCGCTCAGAGACAATTCTGGGAATGTCACTTCTTGACCAGACCAGACCAGTCATCCATAATCATTGCTGGGATTTTCCTCTAGTTTCTATATCATACAGCACTATATAACACATCGTACAAAATTGACAAGATCCTTTTGAGACACTAAAAACCAAATCCTTCATGAACACTCTTCAACCGTGGCAGCCTAGTACGGACTCCAGCCGGGTTTGTATCATGCAGAGGTGTAGAATACAGTACTTTATCTAAACTTTACCTACAATGTCAAAACAACTGCTATCTAAATTGGCGCTAAGGAGCTACTTCAGGGACTGGTAAGCTAAAGTAGCTATGTTTCTGTTTCAGCATTTGTGGAGAAGCATTTTCTGTACTGAGCTGATATGCTGGTTGCCGTTGGTTGGTATACTTCTATTTGAGAGGGTTCCTTCTTTGTGAATAATATAACAAGAGGAATCTGGCAGGCTGTAATATTGTATTTACATTCTCTACCTGTTAATAAAAAATGTGCTCTGTCTTCACCTGTCAAACTGATGACTTTTGTAGTTAAACCTCTAAAGATAACTTATGTCATAAGTATACGAGCTTATGTCATTTTCACAAAATAAAAAATAAAATATTGTAATTGTATTATTATGGGCCTTGAAGATAATCTTGGATTACTGGATCCTGACTTGAAATGTAAAGTTGGGACATCCCTTTGCTCTGAGTGAATGAACAATTTGTCACATATGACATTAAAAGTGCTTTTGCATTCACTACTCTGAATGTCTGCATGTGTGAGGCAAACATCTACGTGGTCCTCTGTAGCTCAATTGGTAGAGCATGGCGCTTGTAACGCCAGGGTAGTGGGTTCGATCCCCGGGACCACCCATACGTAAAAATGTATGCACACATGACTGTAAGTCGCTTTGGATAAAAGTGTCTGCTAAATGGCATATTATATATATTATTATCTACCATTCAGACATGACTAATCCATCACACCACCTAGATGAGTTGTAACAGGCAGTTCTGTTCTGACCCCTCTACACAGCCTCCCAGATTTTCTATGTGAGGGTCCTCTCCTCTGCAATCACATACTAGCCCTTGACTGGAAACACAAACACGTGATGTAGGCTCACACAAACCTGTGCATACAAAGTGTCCAGATATCTGTTTAAAGATACCCATCTAGCTCATCAAACTGCACACTGGACATAGTTTTCTTTGCAACTGGTGTCTCTACTTCACTGTTTCCTGCGGTTTAAATATTGCTAACATTATCCTTGATTTTATGCATGTTTGGGTTTGCCTGATGACTCAAACTGAATTCTTCCACTGCTCTATGTTCGCTACGTACTTTAGTCTGAGACTGCCATCGTTGAAGTCGTTTGTGGTGACGTCAGAATGAGGGCTGTTGTACAAAACAGTCATCAGCGATTGGATAATCTCTAACCAATCAGAAGATCAAAGTCAATGACACATTTTCTAAACGCCGCTTTACCCACGTGTGTTCTGGCTCTGGCCCAACTCGGTTTCTGGGACCAATCAGAACGGTTAGAGTGCGTTTGCGTTCTAGAAATCGTCGGGGAGGTACTCAGACCCAGACTCATTGCGGAGAAGAAACTAATGTCCGTTGGCATGGCGTAGCGTTTGGCCGGAGAAAGGAGTTTCTAACCTCATATCCGGTACTAAAACCGGTAGAATGTGGAAAGACAAATTGCCCCTAGTTACGTGGCAGTGCTTTAATGTTGTTTCTACTGTCTGGTTCCATTTCGGTCCTTCAGCAATTTTGCTTTCAAATCCAGTCCATAAGACCAAGGGGTAGGTGGCAGCAAAGGGCTAGGGGCCAAAATGGGATCAGGCCTATGTTTACATTCTTGCCATAAAAGTAAAAATTATATTGTCCCTTTTATATGAGATAAAATTACTTGAAGAAGAACAACTTAGTCTATCTATAGCGGAGGTATTCCATGGGCCTATAGGGGAACTACTAGGCAGCAGCAACATTTACAACCATCAGCGATACCATGACACTATTCTGCCTGGCAACTCAGTCGATATTTGGTTGACTTTGGTTTTGATGGGGAAAATGGATGGTTCTCACACTACATTCCACAAGGGGCTTTTCAGTACCTTATGTCTAAAAATGTATGATTGCATTGCTTGAAATCTTAAAACAAAACAAAGAGATAAAGACATTTTTTAAAATGGTTAGCGGTGAGGACATTCAACATCACACAAAAGTACAAAGTTCTATATGAAAATATGGTTAAATCGACATACTAGGTTCAATCTATTCCAAGGCAAAGGGGGTTAAGAATATAGATAGGTAGAAATACATCACTGCAATCACATTCCTAGATAAATTCCTCTATGTAAAACTCCAAAACCCTAGTCATGTTTAATTGTTGTTGGTACTAAAATGGACTGTGTTGGTCATCAGCATTATAGTGGTGAATTTGCAAGGGCGGTGAAGATATAGCATCGTTGACACTAACCACATGAAATGTCAACCATTATCCCATGGCTTGAGCTATGTGGTTGAGCTAAACCACTTGTGTATGTGATATATGTCAGTGCTGATACACACCCATACATCTACTACACTGTATCAGTATCTGTATGTGTAGAATCCCATAACTGTTGAACAGAAGTGCTATTACGTCGTAGTTTTGTGCAGACATCAAAAAATGTGTTACTGGCATAAAAATAATAATTTGCAGAATATCAATTTTTATCAGCCTGTGTGTGTGTACTGTACGTGTGTAATTGTGTGCATGCGTGTGTGTGTTGTCGTGTCACTGGAAGGCCTGGTGAAAGCGGGGCAGCGTGGTGGTTGTGCTCAGGTTAGAGGTGTAGGAGGAAGAGAGGCTGTGGAGGGGGCTTACATCCTCCCCGCTCCCTGTCGCCTCGTGGGAATCCGGGGACTGGGGCGGCAGCTGGACGAGTGACAGCGCCTCCTCTGGCGGGAAGGGGACTCCGCCTAGACCCCCGCCGGCTGTCACCTGGTGCCCATAAGGAGGGCTGTTCAAGGGCAGGAAGTTGAAGAGCTGTGAGAAGTCGAGCAACGAGGAGGAGGCCAGCGACTCGCCCACTGCCGCCGCTGCCGAGATTTTGGACAGAGACGCCTCGTCGGGCGAGGTCTCGTCCAATGAGCCCACCTGGGAGTCCAACTCCAGTTTGGAGGCGGAGGATAGCTGAGCCCCCTCGGCCGAGGAGGAGGGCATGCCGCTCTGCAGTTCCATCAGATACGTCTCCAGTTCTCCCTTTAGATGCTGCTCCCTCTCCAGAGTGGAGACGGAGTATGAGGTAAGGTTAGAACCCAGCTGGTACTTTAGGGAGAAGGGGTTTGGGGGGTTGGGCTCTGTGTCCAGGGGAGGCATGGTGGGGCAGTGGTGCTGGGGCAGGAGAGGGCTGCCGTACAGGTTGAGCTGGAGCTGCCTGTGCGGCGCTGATATGGTGGCCAGCTCGCCCTTGACGCCTCCGGCTAGCCCGCAGGAGAAGGGCAAATCCAGCGAATCGGCCGGCTCCGTCTTGACCCTCAGCAGCTCGCGGGCGTGGCTCTTCTTCATGTGGCGCGTAAGGTGGTCCTTCCTGCCAAAGCGCTGGGCGCAGTACTGGCACAGGAAGTCCTTGCGGCCCGTGTGCACCACCATGTGGCGGCGCACATCCTTGCGCGTGTAGAAGCGGCGCTCACAATGCTCGCACCGGTGTTTCTTCTCTTTGGTGCCGCCCGAGGACTTGCCGGCATGGGTCTTAAGGTGCTCCAGGAGCAGGCCGGTGCTGGCAAATGGCTGCAGGCACACCTGGCAGGTGAGGTCTCCGCTGTTGGCCGCGTGAAGGGCCAGGTGACGCTTGAAGCCCAGCTTAGTGTTGTAGCTCTTGCCGCACTCCTGGCAGGCGAAGGCCTCCTTGTTGGGGTCGTGAGTGTGCAGGTGGTTCTTCAAATGATCCTTGCGGTGGAACATTTTCTCACAGTAAGTACACTTGTGGGTTTTCTCCGACGAGTGTGTCGCCATATGCCTTTGAACACAGATGACATTCCATCAACACATTATATTTCAGCAATAACTCTTTCAGCTTATGTAGGCATGCTAGTCAGGAGGACACGTGTGATTTTAACACTTCAATAACACATTAATGTATAAAATGATAGACTACTAAAGATAACAACTACATATTACAGTAAGTGTTGTACATATGAATACAGTATGGCCTACTAGAAGATAACAGGTGTTTGTTCTGTTACCGTTGCAGCTTGTATTTGGAGACAAAGGCCTTGGTGCAGTCCTGATGGGAGCACCGGTACGGTCTCTCTCCTGTGTGTGAGTAGGAGTGCACCTTTAGCTTCTCCACACTGTTGAAAGCCTTCTCGCACAGCTGACAGGGGAAGTTCTTCCTGGGCTTGCCCCCCTCCACTCTCTTGCGCCTCCCTGTGGCCGCCGCGAGCCTGGCTTTATCCGGAACGTGGTCTAGGTGCCCCTGGGTTCCCGTGGCCATGGCACCCTAGGGCAGCACGGCTGGTTGGACAGGGACGCGGTGCCCACCTATTGTCAACGACGCTTGTTCTCTATCCAGTTTTATGTGCTCAACACCGCCAGGACTCAGGCGCCTGAAGATGTGTGTGAGAGAGAGAAGGGGAAGGAAAAAGGTTAATGTTCACATTCAAAAGTGTAAGAAGAGTTCTACTGCAATTCCATACCATTCTACAAGTAGGGGAATACGTTTATAATTTGTATTACAGACCAGTACTGATGAGAAACCCTGTATGGGCCATTCATAGATTAGACGTATGAATGGCCCAGAAAAGGTTCTAAAAAAAGTAATCAAGCCATTGCGTTTAAATATGGAATTCAATCCATCTTGATCCTGTATTTCTCCACTATCGGGACATGATTCAGAAGGCTTCCAGTGTAACATTCCCGCAGCAACAGGAATGCAGCTTCTGCCAAACCCGCATGGCTAATTACCCATGTCCTCTCAAGTTGGATCATCCCGGACCTGGAGCAACTAGTCACGACTCCAGATGCAAGCCGGGAAGGGAAGTGTGCAGGAAACAGGGAGCAAAGGAAGTACACAGGAGCTCTCATTAAAGAATATGGGGAGAGCATACATGTTTTGTAATGTACAAAATTATTGGAGACGGTTATTAATACCAAGCTCAGGTGTGTTAAGACAGGCATCCATAGCTTGATAGTTATGTCTTTAGATAGAGCTAAAGCATTTGTCATTTTTCCTTGCTCTACGCTATTCAATACATAGGTCATGTTGTGTAAAGGTTTTTTTTCTCAAGCTATATGTATGGTAAAAGCTTTGTAAGGTCACTTCTCTGATGCCTTGCTTAAAAACTCTGAGGCTGCACATTAAACCATCTTTGTAAGGAAAACAGTCAAAGCAGCCTTATACAATTAATGATAAGGTGAGAAAATCATACTGAAAAGTGATAGTTGAATTAATTATCCAAAAACAATATTAAATGGTTGTGATACATTTAGTCACATAAACATGTATTATAATGCTATAAAAAATGTTTTTGAGGTTTTCTGGCCGTTAACCTTCATCTTTAAAATGTTATGAAATAAAAAAATAACACTTTCTGATCTAATTATTATCAAAATCCTTTCTGGTGATCTGTATTCACAATGCACAATTCTATAAACTGACTAATTAAAGCAGTTCAAATCAGGTAATTAGAATTTCAACAGGGTTTACACATTGATGTTTGGATTGATTAGAACTGTCTTTGATAACTGATAATGAGGTTTGCAAATCATCTCAAAATGACCATGCTTCTCGTTAAGACAAAACCTCTTTCTTAATGCAACATTAAAACAAACGTTTGTCTCTTTCTCAACCCTCTCACTATCTGTTTAAGAACATGACTTTATAGACATATATTAGATCATTTCTGCTAGATAAGGGTAATTCCACAGTAACAGAGTGACACTTTAAAATGTCATCGAACAAAAACCAATGATTGCTAATTTAAATAAACCATACAACTCTATGCACAAGGACTTCTTTTAACAATTTCCACTGAATATTTTGCAAAAACACAGTTACTTGAAGAACAGTGCAGATGCAAAGTTTGGTAACAGAATGACTGTAACTCTGACACTATTCTCTTGATATTCATACACAGAAAAAACATGAAAAAACATAATCTCAGAGAGACAAGTTGGTAAGCGTATACAATTGTATTTGATACATCTTACAATCGGTGAGCATTTGAGCTCTAGCCTCATTGGAGTACTCCAAATTCAAACATTAACCAATGATTAAACTATAAAATATGACATTATACATAAAACCTAGACAATACCAGAGGCCATCTGCCTTGAGTATTCCAAAAGAGACTGGATCACTGGAATAGGTCAATTAAAATGTGAATTGTTAGGTCAATAGCATGTCTTCTGATGTGAACAGATGAAAAAGACACTACATCAATAATGTAAAGATATTAAGTATATCAAATACTATATCAATATCAAAACTTTAGAGCCAATTGAAGAGTTTATTTCCAAAACGCTATATCCACCTATTTTTCACATTTGTGTTTTTTCATCAGAAATGATTGCTTATGGGTACCTTCATGTGTGTGTAAAATATTACTGATCTCAGATTTTGTATCATTAGATTTGAGATGTTTATGAAAATGTTTAGTTTTTTTTGCAAAATGCTATATATCCATTGTTGACCTGGAATGGGATGTTCATATCCTGTATATTTGACTGTGATATGTGGTTGTCTCACCTAGCTATCTTAAGATGAATGCACTTACTGTACGTCACTCTGCATAAGAGCATCTGCTAAATGACTAAAATGTCAAATGTAAAATGTTTTACATACAGATCTCTTATTACTGTAATTAATTATTATATATATATATTTTTATATTGATATCACAAAAGTATAATTTGTTCTTTATTAAAACTGTAGTTATTTGTTACATTTGACTGTGTAAAACCTAGCAGTAGGCTACTACTTATTTCTCTGAGAGTGAGGCGGATATATAGCATTTTGCAAAAAAACATTATTTGTCTCTCTAAAATGAAACCATCAAGTGATAGATTTGAGAAAAATCTGTCATTGAACAACCCCATGCCATGATTAGATCATGAAAAAACACACCAATCTCTTCAATCATTTATTTAAACAATAAAAGCTAATTTACCAACATTTCTGAAAATTGATATGTAGCATTTTGGAATGAAACTCTTCAATTGTTGACTCCATTCTACCTTATACCAACAAGAAAATGTAACCTAATTTGTTCAATGTAACTGTACAGTTTTTAAAGATCTTCTCAAAAACTGGTATTATCCCACCATCTAAGACATAAAAGTTGCATGAAAACAAGTGTTTCAATGCAACAGATTCATTGTATTTAGATCAATTTCACATTATAAATGTCATAGTAACAAAGTTACTTTTTTCCTCATCATCTTCTGGTGCAAAGGCTTCTAGAATAAAAACTAATAAAATATATAAAATAAACAAAAAGTTTATCTGTAATACAATATAATGCACCCCAAAAATTAATGCATATAGTCAAGTTATTACAATATGAATAGAAAAATATGTGGACCACAGTTAGCCTAACTCAGATTATAAGAATGCAATGACTTGCACACACTTCTGTGACATTACGTAACAATATATAATTAGCATTTCATTTAAAGTTTTTTTTACAGCTGCATCTGACATGTTTACAGTCATGTAAATGCCAATCGAACCCGTTCATAAAACGATAAAACGAAAGGCAAGGGAAAGCCTGTCTCTTTAAGATGCAAAACTTGTCCCCATGTGAAAACCAATTTAGGAGAGCAAAGCACCCACTTCAAAAGCAAGGTTTACCCATCTTGCCATTCACCATATAAGCCAAATAGTTATTACATAGGAGACAACATCCACATATTGGCTGAACATGCACAATTGGATATCCATAGCGCAATTGTGCCATTCAAGAGAAACCTCCCCAAAACGACCAATAGCCTACATGACTGTAAAACCCAAGCCAAACAGCAGTGTGAACCCATCTCGAGTTCCCTTGTAGAGGTTCTGCCATGTTGCTATAGGCTCCTCGTGCGTCCTATAGCCATGAGCAGCAGCAGTCAGATAGCAGGGGCTCAATGCTATGGCTAACAATAACCTGGGAATAGCTTTATACACGACACATAAAAAACAGATAGCCTACTATATCAGTGCATCATCCATGCAATGCTACTGATCATCATGTCCAATCTGAATATGATAATATACGCAACATGCAAATATAAACATTTTAATTAATCGCATCAATGGGACGTGATTTTGATATAACATAGCAGCAGCAGCTTGTAACAGCATCCAATGCATGTTGTTAAACTTAGTATAACTCTCTGTACAAAATAGACGGACATGAACACATGCATAATCAAATGTTTAGCATCGCCTAATTAGTTTGCCCGCAGTTCTCCCTCCATTTTGGTTGTTTATGGTATTGACAAGCAACTTCTTCTCTTCGATACTTGTCTATTTAAACTAACTCAAAGTTGCACTGTCATCTCTGATTTTAGTCAAAGACGTGTTCTGTCTATATGGCCTACATTCTGGATGAAAACATAACATAATACAGAGATAATAAAATCACAATTCACATATTAAATGTCGTGTTTTCAAGTTTCGGCAAAATACTTCTATCGATAAGGGTATGTTTACAGTGGTTTCTGGTGTAGCCTACATGTGAGTAAAAATAAAAACGGTATGCGCACAGCATGCATTTTAAAATAATTTTGATATATCTAAGTGCGCGTGTGTTCCTGTCGGCTGTCCTCGCATCACTGTTGTTATTATATTCGGGAAAAACTTAAACGAAACAAAATTGCTAAACTTTTCTTAACTTTTCTCAATTCAACTGTTTCCCATGGTTGTTGACATTCACTATCACGCAACGTGCCATGACTAGCGCTAATGACACCATTTATTAAATGTTCTTAATATTTCTGTCTTCTTTTGGTTTCCTCTGAGGTCCCAAACTGGGTGCTGATTAACACAAACTTTTTTCTCTAGCTCACCCCTCTCTCATAATTTGAATAACCCCGATATTTTAATTGAAGAACTCCGTAACAATTTACTTAAATTACGTCAAACTCACCCCAGGAGCCTTAACATCCTTTCTACGTAGTTTTTCTTGACTTTCAACTATTTTCCGAATTTTTTATAATTTTTTTCTCATATTTTTTGCTAGACGCGGCGGGCCTGAAAATTGTTTGCTTTCCCCTCTTTCCAGCAGCCATTGTGTATGCGCTGCGATGCAACCAAACATACATTTTAGCCACGCCTACTCAATATCCCGCCCACCTCTTATTTTTGATTTGTGTAACGTCTTGTCACTTTTATATTTCAGTGTCATTGTTTGTCCCTTTTAATAAAGCTCAATTTTCGGACTCGCTAGTGATACTGTCAATCGTATTGACTTCGTTTTGGTTTTATTCTTAACAGTAGGTGGACTAAGGATTACATTAGAACCGTCCTATTGGCTTATCGACCTGTCCGTTTATTGAAAAGTACACAGTCGTCGTTTCTGTATTTTGTCCTGTTGGTCAGTTTTGCTGTCAGTTTGTTGCAGACGTCATGAACGTCGTAGTGCGATGTTATTAAATGACGTTCGAACTGACATGAGGGAATAGATGCACACGAATTCAACCAAGATTTCCCCATAACATCAAGAAAAGTAAGTGCGGCGCGCGGTGGGCAGTCATTTAGATTTGACCAAACACAAAGCGCACAGTGATTTGCGAAAGGTTCGATGTCGCGTGTTGGAAAACATCATTACCAAACGATTCGACTTCCTTACTAGCTAGCTATGCTAGCAACGGCACTATCAGACAACTTGGAAAGTCATACAACACTTTTGTGGTAACCTTTTGCCTTTGCAGTGTCGCTTTTTGTCACATCAGTTAGCAGAAAGCCTCGTTACCCTCTTGCGGGCTTATTTTTTTTACTAACTAGCTGCTATAGTTGCAGTAGCTAGCTAGTCCACTCATTCGAAGGTCAATGACAAAGATCGATTATATTGACAAGATAGTCGAGTGACGGCTATAACAATGGAAATATGTCCTCAAAGATGGAAGGTAGACGAGATCAGGTGGGACCATTCTAGCCAATGAGAGAGCAGATATGCGTGTGAACGGGCTCAACTCAGATTTAAAGTTGTTTTTTCCAAAGTTGCCTAAATGCCACGTGCGTCCACTGTCAGTTCATTCGTAACAACCTAACCATTACGAAACTTCTATTAGATCAAATAAGCCTCACGAAGGAAATTAACGATTACATTTTCTGTTGGACAAATTCAACACCGACTTCCATACAAAAAAAATCACGTCGTGGTCTTATTTTCGTGGACACATTTTGGGCGGCCTAAACACTCGCTTCGCCTCGTCTTCTCTTCTCTGACGTTCAATTTTGTAGCTCGAGCTGTTGCAACGACGTAAGGTGCAATTATGAGTTTGCTGTTCCTGAAATTATGAAATGGAAGTTTTTTTGTATCAGATGTTTATCCAGTCATTGATGTTGCCGCACTTGAGAATGCATAGGTCAATGGGTCCATCCCTGACCTTATGTTTTATTGTAGCCAACCGTGATCATATCTTGATTAATTGTTTAATTGCACGAGACAATGTATCGACTTAAATGTATTGCACTTTTTTTTTCAGAGACGCAACAAGAAATGGACAAAAACGTGCGGAAGCTTCGAAGTAAAGATATAAACCCATGCATTGAAGTATGTGTTAGTATGCAGGCTACATGTTTGAATGAGATTATGCCTGCTACATTTGAGATCTATACTGGTTTGAATGTTGATGTCATTTCTGTCGAATTCAACCACATATGACATTGCTCTTTTCCAGGAAAGCGATGGCTCTCAGAAATGTTTGGATGCCAATAACTATGATAAGAACATGTGTTCTGCATATTTTCTGAGATACAAAAACTGCAGAAAATACTGGGTGAGTATGCGTTGGAGCAATCCATGAGTACCAATCTAATGTAGCCTAATGCATTGCGAGATCTAAAATAGATATTAAGTATTGCATGTAGGCCAACATGAGGCAAAGATTAACAATTCAAACTTAGGGATGGTCCAAAGGGAATGTTTAATGCTAAAAATAAAACACAATATACTCAAATCACATCAAACTGAAATTGGAAGGACCAGCAGCATGCCTCCCTGCATTCAAAGCTCGTTCCCTGTAGAGTTATTCTGTGCCAGTCTTTAAATTATGGAATCAGCTTAATTGATTAGCACCTGCTGAAGAGAGGCCACCACTTTATTATTTTTTGTATGTTACCCCCCTTTTCTCCCCAATTTCGATCTTGTCTCATCGCTGCAACTCCCCAACGGGCTCGGGAGGCGAAGGTCGAGTCATGCGTCCTCCAAAACATGACCCGCCAAACCCCGCTTCTTAACACCCGCCCGCTTAACCCGGAAGCCAGCCGCACCAATGTGTCGGAGGAAACACTGTTCAACTGACGACCGAGGTCAGCCTGCAGGTGCCTAGCCCGCCACAAGGAGTCACTAGAGCACGATGAGCAAAGAATGGACTTAACACTGGAGTCATGTTGCTTTTTCTGTAATTTTTTTCAGCACAACATCATGGTGAATCGGAGACAAGACGGCGTGAAGCCTGACATGCCCACTGCTGAGGAGCGCCAGGAGATACTAGCTGCCATTGGAGGCAAGCCCTACTGAGGCAGTGGCAAGACCAGCAGAAGGAAACACTGGAGCGGGGTGTAGACCATACTTTCCAGTAAAGCTCTGGAACAGACACTTTCTTTATGAAGGTCTGAGAGTTCCTCCACACACCTCACCATTATGAAGCTGACCGTGCCCCAAGAGGTGCCTCTGCCACACTGTGTGCTGCTTGCCACTGAAGGCTGATGGGGGCGCTGAAACCTGTGTCAAATACCGATATCAATGATCAAATCACTACAGTATGCCTAATGCTGCAATCTGGCAATGAATGTGCATAGCTGGTTAGTATGAGTGGAGCTATATGGAGAAGCACTGCAAGTTGCCTTGACAAATCAAGTATTTTAATAGTCTTTAAAGAAAGAACTGGAAAGACTGGACTTACTCACCTTTATTTGCAAGCCTTGCCAGCATCTCTGAAAATAAACAATGTGTATTTGTAAAAAGTTACTTATTTAGGGCACTTTTTTTCTCAATCGCATAAAAGCATTTTTTGGAACAATGTTGTCGGTTTAAAAAAAAAAAACTCTGGCCGTTTGCAAAACAGTAAATGTGTTTTCAAAATGTAATTGCCTTCTTAAAACACATACGTTCATCAAAACTATTATACAGTCAAAATTGCAATTACAAAAATAAAAGGATTGCCTGCATAAACATTAACGCAACCATATTTATCTCTGGAGTCCAAGCAGACAAAACAGAAAGTTAGTATTTATTTGCAGTCACTAAATCATTATCAAAATTGGAAGTAGCCAACAACCATTCAAAGGTTCAGAATTATGGGCGATTACTCTCCTTTTATGCATATTTCACCAAACGATTTCATACACAAATATTATTCCTGATTTTAAAAAACAAACATTTTTAAAATAAGCACATTGTGTGCAGGATTCATTCATCGCTATCATCAATCTAATTCCTTGTATTCAATACATAGGCTGGTTTGCTCATAGTTTTGTAGACTTTCCTTTGTTGCACAGAATAGGAAATAAGGAAAGGTGAATGTATAGCCTCAATCCACACCAGAGCAAAGCTCTATAATGGAAGTTCACCATGTTGGAGATGATGATTTAGGAGTAACCCAAATGTACTTACATGTTGGAGAACTGCCGATTTTTGCAGGTTTTCCTACTTAAAGCATGTAGAGGTCTGTAAAAGTCCAGAAAATCACATTGTATGATTTTTAAGTAATTAATTTACATTTTATTGCATGACATAAGTATTTGATACATCAGAAAAGCAGAACTTAATATTTGGTACAGAAACCTTTGTTTGCAATTACAGAGATCATACGTTTCCTGTAGGTCTTGACCAGGTTTGCACACACTGCAGCAGGGATTTTGGCCCACTCCTCCATACAGACCTTCTCCAGATCCTTCAGGTTTTGGGGCTGTCGCTGAGCAATACAGACTTTCAGCTCCCTCCAAAAATTTTCTATTGGGTTCAGGTCTGGAGACTGGCTAGGCCACTCCAGGACCTTGAGATGCTTCTTACAGAGCCACTCTTTAGTTGCCCTGGCTGTGTGTTTCGGGTTGTTGTCATGCTGGAAGACCCAGCCACGACCCATCTTCAATGCTCTTACTGAGGGAAGGAGGTTGTTGGCCAAGATCTCGCGATACATGGCCCAATCCATCCTCCCCTCAATACGGTGCAGTCGTCCTGTCCCCTTTGCAGAAAAGCATCCCCAAAGAATGATGTTTCCACCTCCATGCTTCACGGTTGGGATGGTGTTCTTGGGGTTGTACTCATCCTTCTTCTTCCTCCAAACATGGCGAGTGGAGTTTAGACCAAAAAGCTCTATTTTTGTCTCATCAGACCACATTACCTTCTCCCATTCCTCCTCTGGATCATCCAGATGGTCATTGGCAAACTTCAGACGGGCCTGGACATGCGCTGGCTTGAGCAGGGGGACCTTGCGTGCGCTGCAGGATTTTAATCCATGACGGCGTAGTGTGTTACTAATGGTTTTCTTTGAGACTGTGGTCCCAGCTCTCTTCAGGTCATTGACCAGGTCCTGCCGTGTAGTTCTGGGCTGATCCCTCACCTTCCTCATGATCATTGATGCCCCACGAGGTGAGATCTTGCATGGAGCCCCAGACCGAGGGTGATTGACCGTCATCTTGAACTTTTTCAATTTTCTAATAATTGCGCCAACAGTTGTTGCCTTCTCACCAAGCTGCTTGCCTTTTGTCCTGTAGGCCATCTCAGCCTTGTGCTGGTCTACAATTTTATCCCTGATGTCCTTACACAGCTCTCTGGTCTTGGCCATTGTGGAGAGGTTGGAGTCTGTTTGATTGAGTGTGTGGACAGGTGTCTTTTATACAGGTAACGAGTTCAAACAGGTGCAGTTAATACAGGTAATGAGTGGAGAACAGGAGGGCTTCTTAAAGAAAAACTAACAGGTCTGTGAGAGCTGGAATTCTTACTGGTTGGTAGGTGATCAAATACTTATGTCATGCAATAAAATGCAAATTAATTACTTAAAAATCATACAATGTGATATTCTGGATTTTAGTTTTAGATTCCGTCTCTCACAGTTGAAGTGTACCTATGATAAAAATGTCAGACTTCTACATGCTTTGTAAGTAGGAAAACCTGCAAAATCGGCAGTGTATCAAATACTTGTTCTCCCCACTGTAGAAGTAACCCAACTTCATTCTCTGCATGTCTACAATATTGTACAGAATCATACAAATTAGTCCCTATTGCTTAGATCTTTCCCGATATTGTACATGGTATTACACTGATGGGGTTGAATTAGAATTCAGTGCAGTAGTATTTACTGGTTGCAGGAAACAGTGAACGCAATTGCACACATTTCCCTTCTGATGAAAACAATGTATTCATATTCTGTGAATAAAACACTACGGTGAATTTTGTATTCACTGATGACATTTGTATTTAAAGTTTTGCAAAAGGTGGTCTATGATATGCAAGTCAGGCACAAAGACAAGAAAATGATCATAACTTCAGTACATTTATTTGAGCATTTGATCACTGCTGAGAAAAACCATAACATATTGGCACAAAGCCTGATCCCAGATCTGTATGTGCTTTGGCCAACATCTGATTCGTTGTTATGCTAAACAGTCTTGCAATGTAAACGTCTACTCTGTTGGGCAATTTTAAATAAATGAGCGCAAGGAGTAGAGTGGGCCATATTCTGATTCAATAATCCATGCTGCCGCGGTGTTTACACCAGCACATACAGTATATGCAGTTAGCTAGCCAAATCCATTGGAATTTCACTTGGCTAGTATTTTGAATCACATACTCTGAGAGCACATGCACATCTGGGACCAGGCTAATTTGGACCCCAAAGGGAAAATATTTAACTTTGTACGGATTGTTTCAAGTGCATGCATTATGTAAGGTAATAGCCTATGACTTGATACAATAAAACACATCTGAAAAGCTTCAGTTCTATAGTATTCCGACACATTTTTATAATGTAATGTAGTGTAGGTTGTATGCCAGCAGAGAGCGCTATTGCTTTGCATTAGTGTTTCAGAGCCATTTACACTAGGTGGTGGTGTTGCTTTACTGACGGAGCCACCCACACATTACCCTGCTTTCTCAAATCTGGCTATAGAGGTCTGCAGCAATGTTGGTTTTCAGTGTTCCCCTCTAATCGGCGAATGATAAGTAGGGTTGTTAAATGTTTTAATGGTGACTGACCACTGTCAGATTGTGAGGATACACCCACTCTGCTGATTACTAGAGTGTGTTTTTCCATGGCAAATGTTGAGATGATGCCAACAGCAGATGTGCACTACAACATTGTGGCTCTCAGAACACAGATTAAGAGTTGCAATCAGTATCAAACAAGCAATCAAGCAAATAATGTCTCTTACTCAGTGTCAATCTATTACTTTGAACAGATGTCCTACTTTTTTTCAATGGCATAAAGAAGATAAACCATGTGGTATGTTCATTTGAGATCATGTATTCATTATGCGATCAGACAGTTGTAAGGCTTTCCAAACATTTAACTTTCCAGCAAGCAAAGATTAATATGAGGCATACATGGTAAATCATTAAGAAATGATGTACGATTGGGATTATATAAAAAGATAACCATGGCTGCACCTGTAAATGAATAATGATGATATGTGCCATTATTTCACACTATCACATAACAAGTTGAAACAACAGCAACCTTCAAAGTGTACTTTGGCATATTAAATTAAATTATTAAAGTTTCTTAACAGCTTTATTGCCATGGCAATATTTCCCAACTACATTTTTGATGTGGATACTGACAAACAAGCTACATAAGACAATAACATAATTAAGGCTAACAATAAATACTTCAAATAAAATGCATAAAAGCAAGAAATCATTCAACAGTTGCTTTAAGGCAGTAGCTTTTGTAAAAAATGAATACATTTCAAGTGACTCTGGAGAGAAATCTCATTGGACATAAAATAGCAGACATTTACTTCATACTGTATCCCCACACAATAGTAAAACAAAAGAGTTAACAACATATATGGTAGAATTAGTAACCATAGTTTCATACGAGTGCATCATCTCTGTATACTGTTTCATCTCTGTATACTGTTAATGGCTCTTTAAAACATCCTTCATAGTCAATAATTATTTGTGCACTAACAATTAAATTCTACAATGTATTTCATATTTTTATATAGGTAGTTAGGCACCGGTATGTAGGATATACATATTACTTTCATTATAAAAGCCAGAAAAGCTTTTTAAAATGTAGTCTAGATTCACAAAGGGTTGTTAACTGCAGCACTTCATGCGGGAAATGGATTGAGCCCCCCCTCCTGAGCACTTATTGGATGCTTCAGTCCTTCTTCCCATGGCCTTTGAATGCATCCATGAAATTGAATGCCCCCAGGTAGTCTCCCAATAGGAGCCCGATCTTAGTGGGCAAAATGCTGTGAGAAGAGAACACACTTGATAAAAAGAGACAGGGGTTATTTATTCAACTTCACAGCAGCTGTAAATTATTGACCTATTTTTTCCCCAATGCACAAAACCCAATAAATACTGAACAAAATAATTGAATAATCATGTACATATACTGTACGTCATGTATATGTGCAGTAAAGCCATTATGTGAAGAACTGCTGCACTTCAAACATCAATAATCAAACATAAATTGTCTTTATGACTGACATAAATGCTAGGGACTCCATATGATCATGCACCACATAAACTTTTACAGTGAGGGAAAACAGTATTTGATCCCCTGCTGATTTTGTATGTTTGCCCACTGACAAAGAAATGATATGTCTATAATTTTAATGGTAGGTTTATTTGAACAGTGAGAGACAGAATAACAACAAAAAAATCCAGAAAAACGCATGTCAAAAATGTTATAAATTGATTTGCATTTTAATGAGGGAAATAAGTATTTGACCCCCCTCTCAATCAGAAAGATTTCTGGCTCCCAGGTGTCTTTTATACAGGTAACGAGCTGAGATTAGGAGCACACTCTTAAAGGGAGTGCTCATAATCTCAGCTTGTTACCTGTATAAAAGACACCTGTCCACAGAAGCAATCAATCAATCAGATTCCAAACTCTCCACCATGGCCAAGACCAAAGAGCTCTCCAAGGATGTCAGGGACAAGATTGTAGACCTACTCAAGGCTGGAATGGGCTACAAGACCATCGCCAAGCAGCTTGGTGAGAAGGTGACAACAGTTGGTGCGATTATTCGCAAATGGAAGAAACACAAAATAACTGTCAATCTCCCTCGGCCTGGGGCTCCATGCAAGATCTCACCTCGTGGAGTTGCAATGATCATGAGAACGGTGAGGAATCAGCCCAGAACTGAGTGGCGCAGTGGTCTAAGGCACTGCATCGCAGTGCTAACTGTGCCACTAGAGATCCTGGTTCGAATCCAGGCTCTGTCGCAGCCGGCCGCGACCGGGAGACTCAAGGGCGACGCACAATTGGCCCAGCGTCGTCCAGGGTAGGGGAGGGAATGGCCGGCAGGGATGTAGCTCAGTTGATAGAGCATGGCGTTTGCAACGCCAGGGTTGTGGGTTCGATTCCCACGGGGGGCCAGTATTAAAAAAAAAATGTATTCACTAACTGTAAGTCGCTCTGGATAAGAGCGTCTGCTAAATATGTAAAATGTACACGGGAGGCTCTTGTCAATGATCTCAAGGCAGCTGGGACCATAGTCACCAAGAAAACAATTGGTAACACACTACGCCGTCAAGGACTGAAATCCTGCAGTGCCCGCAAGGTCCCCCTGCTCAAGAAAGCACATATACAGGCCCGTCTGAAGTTTGCCAATGAACATCTGAATGATTCAGAGAAGAACTGGGTGAAATTGTTGTGGTCAGATGAGACCAAAATGGAGCTCTTTGGCATCAACTCAACTCGCCGTGTTTGGAGGAGGAGGAATGCTGCCTATGACCCCAAGAACACCATCCCCACTGTCAAACATGGAGGTGGAAACATTATGCTTTGGGGGTGTTTTTCTGCTAAGGGGACAGGACAACTTCACCGCATCAAAGGGACGATGGACGGGGCCATGTACCGTCAAATCTTGGTTGAGAACCTCCTTCCCTCAGCCAGGGAATTGATAATGGGTCGTGGATGGGTATTCCAGCATGACAATGACCCAAAACACACGGCCAAGGCAACAAAGGAGTGACTCAAGAAGAGGCACATTAAGGTCCTGGAGTGGCCTAGCCAGTCTCCAGACCTTAATCCCATAGAAAATCTGTGGGGGGAGCTGAAGGTTCGAGTTGCCAAACGTCAGCCTCGAAACCTTAATGACTTGGAGAAGATCTGCAAAGAGGAGTGGGACAAAATCCCTCCTGAGATGTGTGCAAACCTGGTGGCCAACTACAAGAAACGTCTGACCTCTGTGATTGCCAACAAGGGTTTTGCCACAAAGTACTAAGTCATGTTTTGCAGAGGGGTCAAATACTTATTTCCCTCATTAAAATGCAAATCAATTTCTAACATTTTTGACATGCGTTTTTCTGGATTTTTGTTGTTGTTATTCTGTCTCTCACTGTTCAAATAAACCTACCATTAAAATTATAGACTGATCAATTCTTTGTCAGTGGGCAAACATACAAAATCAGCAGGGGATCAAATACTTTTTTCCCTCACTGTACAATCATTTTCGGTATAAAGTACACTACCGGTCAAAAGTTTTAGAACACCTACTCATTCAAGGGTTTTTCTTTCTTTTTACTATTTTTGTAGAATAACAGTGAACACATCAAACTATGAAATAACACATGGAATCATGTAGTAACCAAAAAAGTGTTAAACAAATCAAAATATATTTTATATTTGAGATTCTTCAAATAGCCACCCTTTGCCTTGATGACAGCTTTGCACACTCTTGCCATTCTCTCAACCAGCTTCACCTGGAATGCTTTTCCAACAGTCTTGAAGGAGTTCCCACATATGCTGAGCACTTGTTGGCTGCTTTTCCTTCACTCTGCGGTCCGACTCATCCCAAACCATCTCAATTGGGTTGAGGTCGGGGGATTGTGGAGGCCAGGTCATCTGATGCAGCACTCTATCACTCTCCTTCTTGGTAAAATAGCCCTTACACAGCCTGGAGGTATGTTGGGTCATTGTCCTGTTGAAAAACTAATGATAGTCCCACTAAGCCAAAACCAGATGGGATTGCGTATCATTGCAGAATGCTGTGGTAGCCATGCTGGTTAAGTGTGCCTTGAATTCTAAATAAATCACAGACGGTGTAACCAGCAAAGCATCCCCACACCATTACACCTCCTCCTCCATGCTTTACGGTGGGAAATACACATGCAGTGATCTTCTGTTCACCCACACCACGTCTCACAAAGACACGGCGGTTGGAACCAAAAATCTCAAATTTGTACTCCAGACCAAAGGACAAATTTTCACCAGTCTAATGTCCATTGTTTCTTGGCCCAAGCAAGTCTCTTATTATTATTGGTGTCCTTTAGTAGTGGTTTCTTTGCAGCAATTCGACCATGAAGGCCTGATTCACACAGTCTCCTCTGAACAGTTGATGTTGGGATGTGTCTGTTACTTGAACTCTGTGAAGCATTTATTTGGGCTGCAATTTCTGAGGCTGGTATCTCTAATGAACTTATCCTCTCTGGGTAACTCTGGGTCTTCCATTCCTGTGGCAGTCCTTATGAGAGCCAGTTTCATCATAGCGCTTAAAGGTTTTTGCGACTGCACTTGAAGAAACTTTAAAAGTTCTTGAAATTTTCCGTATTGACTGACCTTCATGTCTTAAAGTAATGATGGACTGTCATTTCTCTTTGCTTATTTGAGCAGTTCTTGCCATAATATGGACTTGGTCTTTTACCAAATAGGGCTATCTTCTGTATACCTTATTTCATAGTTTTGATGTCTTCACTATTATTAATAGTAAAAATAAAGAAGGTGGAGGAATAGGAGGTGAGTCATCTCTCTCTCTCTCTCTCTCTCTCTCTCTCTCTCTCTCTCTCTCTTTCTTTCATGGAGAGCTTTCCAGCTAAAGCCCAACTGACTAAATGTCCACCTTAGAATCCAGGTTCTCTTATGTGAGTTAATCATCTCTCCAATTTATGCATTTTTGGCACTTCAATCAAATTCAAGGAATACATTTTCATTAAATTAGTTGCAATTAGCAATAGGATTTATTTAAAAATGCAGCATTAAGAGTGGGAGTTTTAGGCCTGTATGAAGGGCTCAAATGCAGTTTAGAATTAATGTCAGTGAATCCTTAGATGAATCAGTGTGCTCAGATTAGCAAGTGTGGGTGTGGGTGTGTGTTGAAATATTAATCCCCTCTTGCAATGGGGTAATAGTCCTACTAAAAAGTTAAACTCTGTCCCAGTGTTACAGCAGAGAAGCAGAGTCTGTGGTAGAGAAAATATCTGTCTACATTCCCAGTTCCTGTCTAGGCTGTGTTGTAATCACTCACTTGTTATGAACTTCCCCTACCACCTCTGAAGGCAATGCCTGTGTGTTGATAGTGTTTGTGATATAAATTATTAACATGAACCACTATCCAAAGCATTCGTGTAGCTCAGTTGGTAGAGCATGGCGCTTGGAACGCCAGGGTTGTGGGTTTGTTTCCCACGGGGGACCAGTATGAAAATGTATGCACTCACTAACTGTAAATCGCTCTGGATAAGAGCGTCTGCTAAATATGTAAAATGTAAATCCTTTAACACTAAATAAACATGACATAATGGCTAGAGGTACATAGACAGTTATTTTGACATTGAATCGTGTGGTGTGTGTCACCTTGTTTTTGTGAGCATGTTCATGTTTATTGTGTGAAATAAGTACACATGGGTGGGTGTATACGAGTTCATGTACATGTCGGAAAGGTGTTTGTGTATGTGCGTGCGGTCGAGTGTACTGTAAGTATGTGTGCGATGCGTGTGCATTTATTTGTGTGTTTGCATGTGCGCTTGTGCCCGTGACCTGCCTTCGACTCTCTGTCCCTCGCGCAACCACCTCTCCACTCTTTGTTTACACATGCACCTCTCCACCTAGGCAGCTGTCAGGTCAAGTATCCTCTGTGGCAGGCCTGCATGAATCACTCAGAGCAATCTGTAGTGTTTAGACAAGTACCACCACAAACATGTTCTCTCTCTCTCTCTCTCTCTCTCTCTCTCTCTCACTCTCTCTCTCTCTCTCTCTCTCTCTCTCTATCTCTCTCTCTCTCTCTCTCCCTCACTCACTCACTCACTCACTCACTCACTCACTCACTCACTGTGATATAACTAATTGCACCTTTGCTTATAGCCCCCACACCATTTGACACAATGTAGTACCAGATCAATTTGGTTGGTGTCTGTCCAGTTTAGGGACAAACAACAATGTTTATGCATGTAGTGGCTTTATTTACACAACTCCCGCTTCTGCACACACATAGGTCCCTAAACCATTCTGCTGTTTTATTTAACCACTATGTTTATATTTTGCTGTGAAAATCCTGCAATGTGGATTTGGTTGAATTGAGCCCAGTGATTAAAGTAACACTCCCTATACTTTCAATGCATTTCTGCGCAAAAGTTGGGTATCTGCTTGCCAAAATAAAAAAGGTTTACCCTTCACTACACCACTGTTCTCAGTCCAGTGTCAACAGTTTTCTCTGTTTCGTCCTCTCCATACATTATTGCTGTGTCACCAATCTAGATCATTGCTGATTACAAAGCTTTGAAAGTCAGTGTTGGTTGGATCATAATAACGCCTTAATATATACAAATAAATACACTTTTAAGACACATTTGACTAGGTATCACCCCTTTCCCTTTTCTTTCGGAGTCCTCAGTTAGTATATTTAACGTAGAATATAATGTATCCGTTTTACCCAGTAGTCAAACAAAAATGCAGAATGCTTTTGGGTACTAGAGGCAGGTAGAGCCCCTGTTGTGTAAACAAAGATGCTGCATATATATATGGAAAACCTGTTTGATTACATCTAAACCTAAGACACGACTTGGGCTGGGGAGGTAGCGGCTAGGGCCTGGGGGTTCATGTAAATCATGTATAGTGTTTGGTACAGTTCTTACTTCTTGAGGGCGAGGACGAGGTAGAGGATCCGAGGCATATACAGGTACACTTGGTCAGTTTGGATAGCACGGATGATCTTTTTGGCCACATAGTCAGGTTCCAGGATGGGCATGATAATTGGCCATCTGCAGGAAGCACCCAAAACAAAAACAAACATTTCTCTCACTGATCAGCAGTTCAAAGTAATGGTGTGAATCTACATCTAAAAACACACTGCATGCACTGACGCCTTCAAAAAGGATTGTCTAAGCCCCTTTTTCATTTCACTTCATGGATCAAATCTTTAAAATGTTATGCCACTATGAACATTGCACTTTGTAATCAGTTTCTGCCTTCAGTCTGTTCCTTAAAATACATAAAACCCATAAACTTTGGAGAACAAATATCTCTTTGGAAATCAAGGGCTGTTACTTTTTCAAAGGAACCCATCAATTTTTTAAAAACCATCGTAGCAACGTGATAAAAACATAGGACTTTTGTGTGGGAACTTTCAACATCAGAGCATCACAATCTCATTCAAATCTTATTGTGATTAGGTCCTGATTTGCGTTCTGAAATTCTACAGAGTGTGTGTGTGTGTGTGTGTAACAGGATGTGGTAGGCATTGTTCTGCTCTGTGGCCAGTAAAGAATTGAACCAAGCAGCATGAATAATTAAGTGAAAAAACGGAAGGGCCCAAATAGTTAAAGAGGAAGACTGAGAGATGCTAGCATTGTAACTCATTCTGACAACACACACACACACACACACACACACACACACACACACACACACACACACACACACACACACACACACACACACACACACACACACACGCCACTCAAACGACCATGATCACTAGTGACGTCTAAGGACATGGCCCTAGGCAGTCCAGGTAGAGTTGGCTCAATGGCGTCTATGATGGTGTCACAGAAGTAGTAGGGCGAGGTTGCCCCTAGACAATGATCGAAGGTCATCTACACACCATGGTATACTGCCATTCATTGTATTTCCACTCCCTGGTCTAAATCGTATTTAATCTACTGTTCAAGACAGACTGACAAAGTACAATTTCACTGCCTAGCAAAGTGAAGCAGAGATTGCATTTGATTGCCTAGCTACACATAGCACAGTGCAACATTGTACACATTTCCATATTGTGTCTACTGTGGCAGCACTTCCTCTAACAAAGCTTTTGGTAGCAAAACGTGTGTGGGTATGTGTGTGTGTACGTCAGAATGGTGGACCCACTTGGTGATTGCGCCGTCAAACATCCCCGTGTTAATGAAGAAGGGACACACAATGGTGGTCTTCACTCCATTTTTCTTTGTTGCTAGCAGCTCCAGCGCCACAGACTCAGCGAAGCCCACAGCTGCAAACTTACTGGCACAGTAATCTGAGCACAGACAGAGAGTAGAGGAATGGGAATGCATTACTCTGAGTGTTCACAGCAGAGAATCAATGAATTGCCTTCCCTTAATGGACATCGGGCAATGACATATTAACACTTTACATTAAGTTCCTCTTGTATCTATGTAGTAACACTAATTATTTTAATGACATGGTGTTATATAGTAATTGCATAGTTATGGGGTTTAGCGGTTTTTGTTATCACAAAATAACCAGTTTTTGTTATCACAAAATAACCTGTTTTTGTTATCACAAAATAACCAGTACATGGGTAAGTGATGTTGGGTAAAACATTTAAATCCCACTTTAGAGGGGCAGTGAGTGAGATGAGTATATCTAACCTGCCAAGCCGTTGACTCCCATCAGTCCAGCAGAGCTGGCGATGCTCACCAGGTGACCATGGTTACTGGCTACCATTGCAGGGAGAAACGCCTTGTAAGTCTGGGGGAAAACAGATGATCATTGTTGAGAATTACTTTGCTGGTGACATGCTATGCATATCATTTCATCACATTGGAAGTAAAAATACCCCATGGGCACTGATATTTGAACATGTTCTTCGTCTCTCCTTGTCTAAGTCTTTTATGTTTATCTTACACCTATATTGATACAAGCATGTTGTGTTATGTTTAGAGTTATTTCCATAGGCTGGTCTGGCACATCCTGCGGCCTTGAGCCATCTATCATTCCCTATGCTACTCTTTTACTCTTAGACTTGAAAAGATGGTGCTGCAGATCCTCAAAAAGTTATACAGCTGTACCACTGAGAGTATCTTGACTGGCTGCATCAATAATAATAAATAATAAATAGGTCATTTAGCAGACGCTCTTATCCAGAGCGACTTACAGGAGCAATTAGGGTTAAGTGCCTTGCTCAAGGGCACATCGACAGATTTTTCACCTAGTCGGCTCGGGGATTAGAACCAGCAACCTTTCGGTTACTGGCACAACGCTCTTAACCGCTAAGCTATCTGCCGCCCATCACCGCTTGGTATGGTAAATAATTGACATCCGAGTGCAAGGCGCTACAGAGGGTAGTGTGTACGGCCCAGTACATCACTGGGGCCGAGTTCCCTACCATCCAGGACCTCTATACCAGGCGGTGTCAGAGGAAGGCCCTAAAAACTGTGAAAGACTCCAGCCAACCAAGTCATTGACTGTTCTCTCTGCTATCGCACGGCAATCGGTACCGGAGTGTCAAGTCTGGGACCAAAAGGCTCCTGAACAGCTTCTACCCCCAAGCCATAAGACTACTGAACAGTTAATCAAATGGCTACCCAGACTATTTGACCTCTTTTTTTGTTGTTGCACTGACTCTCTTGCACCGACTCTATGCACACTCACTGGACTCTCTCTACCCACACACTCACACCTACTACACCGATAGTCCAATACATACACACACACACTCAAACACACAAAACACACACACATGCATATTGACGCCACACACACACTCTCACACATAGACACACTTTCACACTCTTTCACTCTTCACACACGATGCTGCTACTCTGTTTATTATCTGTTTATTATCTATCCTGATTGCCTAGTCGCTTTTACCCCTACCTACAGTACATGTACATATTACCTCAATCACCTCAACTACCTCGTACCCCAGCACAATGACTCGGTACCGGTACTCCTTGTATATAGCCTCGATATTGTTATTTTATTGTGTTACTATTTCCTTATTTTGTGTGCAAATGTTCTTACTTTTTAGGAATTTGGGGAAAGGGCTCGTAAGTAAGCATTTCACAATAAAGTCTACACCTGTTGTATTTGACGCATGTCACAAACAAAATGTACCTGGTACCCTGACGAGACTACGTTGGCGAGCAAATAGACCCCCATTGCCCTCTGTTCTATTGGTGAACGTGCAATCACTGGAGAACAAACTGGATGAGCTCCGTTCGAGACTATCCTATCATCAGGACCTGAAAAACTGTAATATCCTATGTTTCTCAGAGTCTTGGCTGACCGAGGTCATGAATATAAATCTCGCTGGTTTTTCTATGCATCGTCTAGACCGCACGGCAGACTCAGGTAAGATGAAGGGAGGAGGGGTGTGTCTCTTTGTTAACAAAAGCTGGTGTTTTTGCTCGCCTGAGTTAAAATACCTCATGATAAGCTGCAGACCATACTATTTACCAAATGAGTTTTCATTAATGCAGGGAAACTGGAATCCGTTTGACCTCATTTTTACCAGCACCTCTATGCAACTAGCGGTGACAAAACTCTAGATCACCTTTACTCCAAACACAGAAACGCATACAAGGCCCTCCCTTGCTCTTCCTTTGGCAAATCAGACCATAATTCTATCTTCCTGGTTCTTGCTTAAAAAACCAAAAGCTCAAACAGGAAGTACCAGTGATGCGCTCAATACCGAAGTGGTCAGATGAAGCAGATGCTAAGCTACCAGGACTGTTTCGCTAGCACAGATTGGAATATGTTCCGGCATTCATCCGATAACATTGAGGAGTTTACCACATCAGTCACTGGCTTCATTAATAAATGCATCGACAACATCATTCCCACAGTGACCATACGTACATACCCCAACCAGAAGCCATGGATTACAGTCAACATCCGCACTGGCCTAAAGGCTAGTGCTGCCACTTTCAAGGAGCGGGACACTAATCTGGAACCTTAAATTAAATCCCACTATGACCTCCGCCGAGCCATCAAACAGGCAAAGCGTCAATACAGGACTAAGATCAAATCCTACTACGCCAGCTCTGACGCTCGACGGATGTGGCAGAGCTTGCATACCATCACAGAATACAAAGGGTAACCCAGCCGCGAGCTGCCCAGCGACGTGAGCATGGACCTACTCCAATTCGCATACAGCCCCAACAGTTCCACAGAAGACGCAATCTCTATTGCACTCCACACTGCCCTCACCCACCTGGACAAAAGGAATACCTATGTAAGAAGGCTGTTCACTGACTGCAGCTCAGCATTCAACACCATAGTCCCCTCCAAGCTCATCACCAAGCTCAGGATCCTGGCACTGAACACCTCCCTCTGCAACTGGATACTGGACTTCCTGACGGGCCGCCCCCCCAGGCGGTGGAGGTAGGCAACATCACGCTAACCATCAACACGGGGGCCCCTCAGGGATGTGTGCTAAGTCCCCCTCTGTACTCCCTGTTCACCCACGACTGCGTGGCCGCGCACGACTCCAACATCATCGTCAAGTTTGCTGACGACACGACGTTGGTAGAGCTAACCATCGACGACAATGAGGCAGCCTATATTGAGGAGGTCAGAGACCTGGCAGTGTGGTGCCAGGACAACAACCTCTCCCTCAACATCAGCAAGACAAAGGAGCTGATCGTGGACTATAGGAAACGGAGGGGCGAGCACGCCCCCATCCACATCAATGGGGCTGTAGTGGAGCAGGTCGAGAGCTTCAAGTTCCTCTGTGTCCACATCACTAAGGAATTAACATGGTTGACACACACCCACACAGTTGTGAAGAGGGCACAACAGCACCTCTTCCCCCTCAGGAGGCTGAAACTTTTTGGCATGGGTCCTCAGATCCTCAAAAAGTTATACAGCTACACCATTGAGAGCATCTTGACTGGCTGCATCACCGTTTGGTACGGCAACTGCAAGACACCCATACCGCAAGGCGCTACACAGGGTGGTGAGTACGGCACAGAACATCGCTGGGCCAAGCTCCCTGCCATCCAGGACCCCTATATCAGGCGGTGTCAGGCCCAAAACATTTTCAAAGATTCCAGCCACCCAAGCCATAGACTGTTCTCTCTGCTACTGCATGGCATGCGGTACTAGTGCACCAAGTCTGGAACCAACAGGACCCTGAACAGCTTCAACCCCCAAGCCATAAGGCCGCTAAATAGCTAACCAAATGGTTACCTGGACTACCTGCATTGACCCTTTTTTTTACTAACTCTCTTGCACTGACTCTATGCACTCACACTGGTCTATACCCACACACTCACACATACTTCCTCTTACACCCCAACACACACATACCCACACTATATATGCCCACACACACATTACATGCGCACACATGCATACTGACGCCACACACACACTCTCTCACACACACACACACACACACACACACACTCACCACATACACTGCTGCTACTGGTCCACATACGCTGCTGCTACAGCTCAGTCTATTATCTATGTCACTTTACCCCTACCTATATGTACATAGCTACCTCAATTGCCTCGCACCCCTGCATATCGACTCGGTACTGGTACTCCCTGTATATAGCCTTGTTATTGTTTTTTGTTATTCACTGTGTATTTATTCCTTGTGTCACTATTTATATTTTTTAGATTTATCTTTAACTCTGCATTGTTGGAAAAGGACCCTTAAGCATTTCACTGTTAGTCTCCACCTATTGTATACGAGGCATTTGACAAATAAAATTAGATTAGATTAGATTTTGATTTGACTTGTCGTGGAAAAAGCCAAAATGTTCATGATAAAATTCCAACTCACCCAGAAGTGAGCATTGGAGTTGACCTCCATAGACTTCTCAATCAGGCTGTCGGGAGCATCCATGAACTTCCTCCCTGTGACAATGCCTGCATTGTTTATAAGGATTGTCACGTCTCCCACTTCCCTTTTCACCTGTCAATCAACACATAATATAGCATGTTGTATAGATGTAACAGGCTAAGAACAGAAATGGAACTGGGCCTAAATATACCATACAAGGAGCACAGAGGTCACACAGATTACAACTAATCTCTGCAGGCCCTCTACACTCTTAGAAAAAAAGGTGCTAAGTAGAACCATACAGGATTCTTCGGTTTGTCCCCATAGGGAACCCTCTATGAAGGGTTCTACCAAGAACCATTTTATCATCTAAAGGTTCTTCCTAGAATCCTCTATGAACGGTTCCACCAGCCTTACTAGACTTTAAAATGTAATTATTTATGACAATACATTACATATATCATAAGGCCTTTATTTGAGGGCCTAATTATACCCTAACACAGTGGTGTTAGGAATCTCCTGGTTTACAAGGAGCTGTAGTCATGAAGTGGACCTGAACAGAGCATACATGGAATGTGTGGGAGTCTTTCAGCATTTGCCCCAAAAGCATGGAGGCCCTTTGAGTTGTTGTACAGTATAATAGACATTGGGTTGATCATTCATTTATGTAAATATCTTCCCTCTCACATACATTTGCATGGTTTCAGGAAGGAGCTTTGCCGTATATTTGCAACAGCTCAAATTACAACTACGAAGATCAGTGTATGTTCGGAAAATACAGTACTGTAGGCTTAATACTACAGACCTTCAAACTATTACCTGCTGTAGGAAAGTGGTAGAACATGGTTGATAACATCCATACCTGGCCAGGTATATAGACCATATAAACTCACCTGGTCAGCCACTGAGTACACCTCTGCCTTGTTGCTGCAGTCACAGATGTATGAGTGCACCCTGGCAGCGCCCTTTTCCTTCACCAGTCGAACAGTTTCCTTGTTGCCATCCTGGCTAATGTCCCACAGCACCAGCGTGACGCCCATGGAGGCGAACTCAAGCGCAATCAGCCTGCCGATGCCGCTACCCGCCCCTGTGATGAGGATAGTTTCTCCCGCAACGCTCTTCTTCCGCGAAGGGATGAAGAGTTTTACAAGTGCCTCCAGGTTATAATATATAGACATGGCCAGCACCTGAAGCGTCTCCAGAGCGAAGTTCATATTGAATAGAAGTAGAGGACCTATCAAACCGCATGGATTAAAGTTGGGTTAAAATGAAAATGATACATTATGCATAGGCTATAATCTATTCTGGTGGTATGGTTCAAGGCAACTGTCTCTCATTTCCCAAAATGATATAGCATTGTCAGGCCTGTTGTTAGGCTATTGGTTTCCATAGGTCTTATTCTGAATTAATAAAAGTAGAACCATTTCAATTGATTGTTTTCTTCCCCTCTATGTTGATTGTTTTCGTTCCCTCTGTCTTCACTGTCAGAATCGGTTTAGAATAAGAAAACTAATAAGGATTCAAACGTCAATAATAGCATGTCGACAAATACTACGTCTCCTAATTCAGTTTATCGCTTCAAATAAGGCTACACAGCGTTTAACTTACCCCTTTCCTTACGAGAACAAGTGTTAGAAACCGATAATGAGCATCAAAGTATAACAAATTATAGCGCTTATCCTATTATAGGATAATTTTTCCGACCTTTGCACAATGAGGTAGTAGTGACCGACACCGTGTTTACCTCTGGACAAAGTTCAATATTATACGGCAGGCTATGGCTTTAACCACACACAGGGCGCGTCTCCTATGCACCATTTGCTCTGCATTATCTGTGTGATGAGTTGATGGAAGTAGCCTCTATTTAGAAACGGCCCGTTTAATCAGTTGTCATTCAGTTTAACGGAAAGATACACTTACCATAATCTATAGGCTAAATATTGGTTCCCTTTCTTGAAACACTGTCTGTGTTCTGCGCGCGAAACGCATCCAAATCGCCACAGCCAGTCGCGGCTACCTTTTAACTTTGACCTAGTAAGAGGCATTGTGGGGAGACGTCGATTTTCCTACACGCGACTCATTCGTGCGAATCATTGGTAAGATAAGCCATTGGTAAGATAAGCCATGATGATGCCCTGAGGATTTCCTAATGATTCATGCATTAGGAAATCAGTGTATAACTACGGTCAAAAGGAACCGCTGTCCAGTGTCCACTTCAAATCCGTGGTCCACTTACAAAATAACTGAATTATTAATTAAATAAATTAACATTCATAAATCAAGTGCTTTTATCTTCACTGCCCAGACAATTAAGATCTATTCGTATCCTAAAACCAAGACAATAATCATGACACAGGAAGCAATGTGATGTTTGTGATGATGATCTCATTTATGACTGAGGTATAAGGGAAACAATCTTTTCACGCCACTTCAAGTAGTAGGTTAGGATAATTTATGGAGCAGGTTAGGAGATGCAACATAGCAGGTTAGGAGACTGAGGTTAATGTTAGGAAAAGGGTTAGGGAAAATATCGAAGTGGCGTGAAAAAAGTGTGTCTTTATGGTATAAAGCAGGAGCCTAGACCATGTTTGGGGACAATAAAGATTGACGGTTTGATTTTTATTATTTTAAATGTATTTCAATAATATTTACTAGTGTGTAGTTTGAGGTTTCTTTGTGAGAACATCTATTGATGTATTGATTGCATGTTGAGCCGGACTGGCCTCCCCGTACCTTGCTGTTGTATTGCCAAGTCCTAGATGTTTAGGCTACTCAACTGTGCTGGTAATATGCAAGGTCAGTGGGTGTTGGGAGATGTGGGGGACCTCGGTAACACTTTACATGAAGGTGTTTACAAGTAGTTGATAAACTGTTAACTAATATTGCATAGTTTATTAATCTATAACGTTTTAAAAATATTAAATAATTGTAGATGAGTGTTGGTTGACTATTTATTCCCACTACTGCAGAACTCTTGGAAGACAATGGAAGTTGGATGGAGGAAAAGGCTTCTTTAGTTCTCAACAATAAAGAAACATTTTCCTTTCAACTTCCATTGTTACAATTTTGACTAAATGAGTCGAACATGTCAAATCCCTCAAACAGCTAATTTGAGGAAGAAGCCATCTGTTCTGCCATCAAATGTTGACACAAGGTATTCATCTCCATTAGGGCTTTGTCTTTTAATCTTGCCATGGTGCACGCTTGTAACGTTTCAATCTGTGATGTTACTCGCTCTAAGATCTTGAAGTAGTTGTTTCCCTTGCTCTGCAAGAGCCGTGGCTTTTGTGGAGCGATACACTGTAAAAAAAAAAAAAAAAAAAAAAAAAAAAGCCTGTCATTATTTCAGTAAATGACTGGCAGCACAATACCCAGTAGTTTACTGTACATTTACAGTAAAACTGGCAGTACAGAAGCCAGCATATTACTGTAGATTTACAGGACCTTTACTGTAACACAAATTTACAGCATATTGCTGGATCACCTAACTACAGCAACATGCTGTATTTCTAGAATTTACAGTGCATTACTGGAAGTACAGTGGTTTGTCACAGGCTGATGTGGATGCGGTGTTGGAGTCAGGCGCAGGACACAGAAGCTTAGTCGAACCGACTTTAATTGTCACAAAGACAAATACAAAATAACGGGCCTCAAAACACAGGAGGGCGAGCGATTACGCAAACGGTGCGTAAAACACTAAACACTAGAAAACAATAAACATACACCAACGGACAGGCGTTCAACAACACACAACTGCAAACAAAACCAAAGGAAACTTATAGGTGACCTAATCAATACATAATACGAAACAGGTGCACCAACAAGACAAAACCAAACAAACATAGAGAACATCAAGCGGTAGCAGCTAGTACTCCGGGGACGACGAACGCCGAAGCCTGCCCGAACAAGGAGGAGGAGCAGTCTCTGCGGAATTCGTGACAGTACCCCACCCTTGACGCGCGGCTCCAGCTGTGCGCCGACCCCGGCCTCGGGGACGGCCAGGAGGACGTGGAGCAGGGCGCGTAGGATGACTCCGGTGGAACTCAGTCAGGAGGGATGGATCTAAAATGTCCCTCCTAGGCACCCAGCACCGTTCCTCCGGACCGTACCCCTCCCACTCCACGAGATATTGTAGACCCCCCATCCGACGTCTCGAATCCACGATGGACCGGACTGAGTACGCCGGAGCCCCCTCGATGTCCAGTGGGGGCGGAGGGGTCTCTCTTATCTCACTCTCCTGGAGTGGACCAGCTACCACCGGCCTGAGGAGAGACACATGGAACGAGGGGTTAATGTGATAGTCATTAGGCAGTTGCAACTTGTAACACACCTCGTTCAATCTCCTCAGGACTTTAAATGGCCCCACAAACCGCCGGCCAAGCTTCCGGCAGGGCAGGCGAAGGGGCAGGTTTCGAGTCGAGAGCCAGACTCGATCTCCAGGGGCGTATACTGGACCCTCACTGCGGTGGAGATCGGCGCTCGCCTTCTGCCTGCGGATGGCCCGCTGCAGATGTACGTGTGCAGCGTTCCACGTCTCCTCCGAGCGCCGAAACCACTCATCCACCGCAGGAGCCTCGATCTGGCTCTGATGCCATGGTGCCAGAACCGGCTGATACCCTAACACGCACTGAAAAGGGGTCAGGTTAGTAGAGGAGTGGCGAAGAGAGTTCTGAGCCATCTCTGCCCAGGGGATATACCCCGACCACTCCTCCAGCCGGCCCTGGCAATATGATCTCAGAAACCTACCCACATCCTGGTTCACTCTCTCCACCTGCCCATTACTCTCAGGGTGGTAACCCGAGGTAAGGCTAACCGAGACCCCCAAGCGTTCCATGAACGCCCTCCAGACTCTAGAGGTGAATTGGGGACCCCGATCAGACACTATATCCTCGGGAACCCCGTAGTGCCGGAAGACGTGGGTGAACAAAGCCTCAGCGGTCTGTAGGGCAGTAGGGAGACCCGGCATTGGAATGAGACGACAGGCCTTAGAGAACCGATCCACAACGACCAGAATAGTGGTATTCCCCTGAGAGGGGGGAAGGTCCGTGACAAAGTCCACCGAGAGGTGAGACCACGGCCGTTGTGGAACGGGCAGGGGTTGTAACTTCCCCCTGGGCAGGTGTCTAGGCGCCTTACACTGAGCGCACACCGAGCAGGAGGAGACATAAGCCCTCACGTCCCTAGCCAATGTTGGCCACCAGTACTTAACACTAAGGCAGTGCACTGTCCGGCCAATACCTGGATGTCCAGAGGAGGGTGACGTATGAGCCCAATAGATGAGACGATCACGGACCTCGAGCGGCACGTACGTCCGACCCACTGGACACTCTGGGGGAGTAGGGTCGGTGCGTAACGCCCGCTCAATTTCCGCATCGACCTCCCATACCACCGGTGCCACCAGACAAGACTCCGGCAGTATGGGAGTGGGCTCAATGGACCTCTCCTCTGTGTCATACCGCCGGGACAGGGCGTCTGCCTTACCGTTCTGGGACCCTGGGATGTAAGTGATCTTAAAAACGAACCGGGTCAGAAACATGTTCCACCTAGCCTGACGAGGGTTCAATCTCCTAGCTGCCCGGATGTACTCCAGGTTACGATGGTCAGTCAGAATGAGAAAAGGGTGTTGAGCCCCCTCAAGCCAATGCCTCCACACCTTTAGGGCTTGAACCACGGCTAACAGCTCCCTGTCCCCTACGTCATAATTACGTTCCGCCGGGCTGAGCTTTTTAGAATAGTAGGAGGCGTGCCGGAGCGTTGCGACAGTACTGCCCCAATACCGGCCTCTGACGCGTCCACCTCTACCTGGAACGCTAAAGCGGGGTCCGGGTGCGCCAGCACCGGAGCCGAAGTGAACAGGTCCTTCAGTTTACAAAACGCCCTGTCCGCTTCAGCCGACCACTGCAAACGCACCGGGCCCCCCTTCAGCAGGGAAGTAATGGGAGCTGCTACCTGTCCAAAACCCCGGATAAACCTCCGGTAGTAATTGGCAAAATCCAAAAACTGCTGCACCTCTTTAACAGTGGTTGGGGTTTGCCAGTTACGCACGGCTGACACACGGTCAATCTCCATCTTCACCCCTGACACTGACAACCGATGACCCAAGAAGGAGATGGACTCCTGGAAAAACAGACATTTCTCTGCCTTGACATACAAGTCACGCTCCAACAGCCTCCCCAACACTCGGCGCACCAGGGCTACATGCTCGGCTCGTGTAGCAGAGTACACTAGGATGTCGTCAATGTACACTACCACTCCCTGCCCATGCAGGTCCCGGAAGATCTCGTCCACAAAGGATTGGAAGACTGAAGGAGCATTCATTAACCCGTATGGCATGACAAGATACTCATAATGACCTGAGGTGGTACTAAATGCCGTCTTCCATTCATCTCCCTCCCTAATGCGCACCAAGTTATAAGCGCTCCTGAGATCCAGTTTTGTGAAGAAACGCGCTCCGCGTAATGATTCAGTCATACTCGCAATCAGAGGAAGAGGGTAACTGTATTTCACAGTGATCTGATTGAGACTACGTTAATCAATACACGGGCGCAACCCTCCATCCTTCTTCTTCACAAAAAAGAAACTCGAGGACGCAGGGGAAGTGGAGGGCCGTATGTATCCCTGTCTCAGGGACTCAGCTATGTATGTCTCCATAGCCGCCGTCTCCTCTTGAGACAGAGGATACACATGGCTCCGCGGGAGTGCCGCACCTGTCTGGAGGTTTATCGCACAATCTCCCTGTCTATGAGGTGGCAATCGCGTCGCCCTCGTCTTGCTGAACACGAGTGCCAAATTCTCATACTCAGGGGGAATGTGCATTGCGGGCACTTGGTTCGGACTCTCCACCGTGGTCGCCCCAACGGAAACACCTAAACATCGCCCAACACACTGGCCAGACCATTCCTTGAGAGCCCTCTGTTGCCA